CGAAACAGTTTTCTTTTCTCTTTTTTATATTAAGTTTTTGTCGAAGTTTCGCGATTACTAATTCATGATCCGACCCACATTCTGCTCCGCGATAAGACCGTACATTAATTATACTGCTTTGCCAGCTGTGTTGTATCAAGACATGATCGATTTGATTTCGTGTTTGCGAATCCGGTGATGTCCAAGTATATTTATGAATATCCTTATGTTTAAACGTCGTACTTTTAATTATCAGGTTTTTCGAGATGGCAAAGTTTATCAGACGGATCCCATTATCATTACTATATTCGTGCAAACTTTCTTTACCAATCGTCGGAATATAAACTTCTTCCCTTCCTACCTTTGCGTTCGCGTCACCTACAATTATTTTCATGTAGTTTCGCGGTAGTTTATCATAAACCCATTCGAGTTTATCGTAAAATTCACTTTTGACTTCATCGTCACTGTCTTCGGTCGGACAATGTATGTTTATTAATGCGATTTTAAACCAACGTCCCTGAAATGTAGCTACCGAAATTCTATCACTAAAGAATTGTACGTCCCTCAAAGCGGATAGTAATCTACTCCTAATTAGAAACCCGGTACCTAAACAATGATTCCCGCTTCCTCCGTACCAAATAGTGTACTTTCCTTCCCTCATCGAGCCCTCCCCTGGCCAGCGAACCTCTTGCAGAGCCACGACATCCAAATTGTACCCATTTACCTCATTCGCGACCGATTTTAGCCCCCCTGCTGTGTTTAAACTCCTTACGTTCCACGTACCAATATTTAAATCCCTATATTTCAACTTGTGCCATGAATCCCCTGAAGCAGTCCCCACCCGGAGACCCGAACGGGGAACTAGTTTACCTCCGGATAATGAGCGTTTTACCTTAGGGAGATCCATGACTTTTTGTGATGTTTGGTGAACTAAAGATATGTGAGTAGGGCGTTCAATCCTACGTCACACCCTCCAGCAAGTCTGGAGGGCCCCTCTCATTGTTGGTCAGCGAGTCCATCGGACTTAGCCGGAAGGAACTTCCAAGGAATTTCCACCGACCATCCCCACATCCGCCACCCGTGGGACGCTCCCCATACGCGGTAATGAGCCTGCGCGAGGATAAATATGTAACCAGTAAATAGAAAAATACTTATTCCCTCATTAGCTTGATTTTTTTTTTTTATAGCTGTTATTAGAAATAGGGAAAATATTATATTCAAGCAAGGTCACCGTTCCATTTATTTCACAATTTGTTACTTGAACCTGAACATTCCATTAAAATTGAAGTGAATCTAATTTATCTAAAATTACATCTTGCATTGCTACATCTGTTACTGGTAATTATTTTTCGTTATTATCATCAATATGTGGGATTCTTATATGTTTACAAAGATGTATTGCAGGATGTTCAGCAATAGTTAATTCATAATAGCATGTGCAGTGTTTTTCTTTCATATTGTTCTATTTTTTTCTAGCAAATTTATATGGGATGAAGTCAATGATAGTGGTTATGAGGTCAGAATTATCACCCTTATTGCAGGGCAGCTTTTTTATTCCATAGTAGAGGGGGGCTCATAACCAGAACTTAAATTTCTTTCTCATTTATATAGAAATATTAATCATAAAACTAGTCAATTCCAAAATTAAAACTATTTTATTGAGTAATATAACATTCTGTCATGACAATAGCTCTAGTTATTGTTGTAAAGACCATAATTATAATGATAAAAGAGTTCATTCACACCATTAATTGTCTGACATTTTTTCCATGTGGCTGGTTCTTCCCAAATGTGCCAAATGGGCTTAGCGGCATCCGAAAATCAGGTTGAGTTAATAGATCAACAAACTTTGACATTTATAATGTCTTTGAGTTTTATAAATTTGCTTGAACCTTAGTACTGGTGCTGGTGGAGGGAACTAGTCCGGCAAGATGGCCTTGTTTTTGTCAACTTGGTTACCACCATGTACTTACCAGAGCGGGAGTGTTAAGATTTATTTCCTAGGGCCACTGGGAAATAAATATTAACCGACACAGGTGGAAATCAAACTCATTATTTAAAAAAATATCCATTCTTAAAAAACAAAAATAGACAATTACCATCAGTAAATGGCACTCTTAATCTCATTATTCTATCAGCCATGATAATTGATAAAAAATAAAAAATCTAAAATTAAGTTATTTTATTTTTTAAAACTAAATTTAAAAGTCAATGTACTTAGATTCGAATACATGTAAAAGTTAGTATTTTAATATTGAAACGTTAAAAGAAATTTTAAAAACGAAACAGGGACTTACACTTAAACTATAAATTTATTTTATTGTATTTAAAAGATTTGTGAAAAGAAACACACTCAGCTGTTGAAAACCTAGTTGGCTGCTTACTGGTTGGAATTTGAGAATGGAAAATCCCCATACACGGCTTTGGTTCCGGAACCACACACAACCGATGCCAGAAACCTTTATGTTGATCCTGAACCATGTGTGCCCCTAACATGTTAAAGTCTGATCCTCAGTAAATACTACAGGAATTCTGTAATTTATTCTTAATGATAAACGGTTGTCTGATTTATAACTCATTTTAGTCTTGTAAATTTTCAAATTAATACTATACAGAATTTTGTTTAAATCCAAACTCTGTGCATGTATTTGGCTCATTAAACATTTATTTAAATTAGTTGTAGTTTCAATATATTTCTCTGGTGATATTCATATATATATTTAAATGTAATGCTTGATTTTCTTTACCTACTTCTGTCTATATTTATTTGGTAAATGTTTGGTAATTAGGTTCTCAATTAGATAGAAAAATGTTTTCATTTTATTATTAACCTGGTTGTCATGTTATTTAAGGCTTATGTATTGTTTTTCCACTGTAAAACTGTTACACTCCACTACCCCGTAATTGAGATTTTTTATTCTTTGCATTTAAGATCTTAGCACTTGTATGTCATTAGATTTGAGTTTGCTTCTACAGTAAATGTAGGTAGTTCTTAAGCATTCTGTATAATGTGGATTTCTCATCATGTTATTCAATTTAATAATTAATAATATTACCTTATAATATGCTTTATTTATTATTGGACATGTTTCTTTAGAATAAGAATAAAATCAACTAAAGTAGGTTTTTGAGCATTGAATCTAATTTTAAAAGTTGAAATATAAAAAGTTATTTTATTGAAGAAACAGTAATAATAAATGAACTTACACTTATAGAGAACTTCACCCAAGTCATTGTGTGCCAAATTTATTAGTTGTGTAAGTTTATGGGGAGAAATAAATTAAAATTTCATTACTTGTAAAATATTTATTTAAATTATAAATATAATTTATTATTAAATTGGGATATGTTTGTTGGAGATCTGTGAGGATGAATTTAATGTAAATTTTAGTCTTTAGTTCTATTAATTTTATTTCCAGTATTTTCATCCACTTCATAGGCCATCATGAGGGCTGAAAAATGATGAGGAAAGAGGCTGTAGTTGCAATGCACAAGGATGAAATGGTACATTTTTAATTTAACAGAAATATTCCCTCTTTCCTCATTGTTGTTATTTTTATTTCTGGTATTGGTAGTCTTTGAATAGATATAGATATTGTTATTGGATATAGGTAATAGTGCTTTATAGATTCAGGTGTTGCTAGCCTCTGTATTATATAAATTTAGGTTAGCATTAGTAGTCTCTATATAGAGTCTTTCTTTTCTCTTAGCTTATTGGCACTATTAATAATCTGAAATGTCTTAGATAAAATAAATTAAACAACAGCAAATTGACCTTGAACCATCCTCAAACATATCCCAGATTTATTAATGTGATCCATTCAGATTTTTTAATAGAAAATTGGTTATTTTAGTTCATTGTTCATTCTAATTATAATATAATGATATTTTAGAGGCTAAATCTTTGTTGCTTATCAAAACACTAGTCATATGACCATTTAAGTAATTGAATTAATGACATATTTTTATTTCCTTTAATAATTTTTTATACGGATACATCAATTTGAGATGATTGGCTTAAAATTCTGTAGTACAATAAGATTAATACTTGTGCAATAAATTAAAAAAAATTTTTTTTGTTCAATTATTATTATTATTAAAGACGTTCATAAAAATCTTTAATTATGCTTTTAAGTTTTATCATTTCCACTCTCTAAAGGTTGCTACTCATTTTTTATATTTCAGTGAACCATTAGACATCGTTATTTTAAGGAATCTTCACCCATTACATTCAATTGTGCTCCAGCTGGAGTTCATCCCATATTACTTTGGTTTAAGTCTTATGAATACTTCACTTTTTCTAATAATTACACGAGCTAGATTTTTTAATGAAACAAATTAGAATTTTAATTTAAAAATTGTCTAATCATGCAAATTTAGTGCAATGACTATCAATTCATTAATACTAGTGTTAAAAGGCTATCCAGCAGTCAAGTATCTAAAAAAGTGGTATTTGTAATACCACAGAATAAAAATACCAATTTTTTTGTGGTGAACAGGTTAATAATAATTAAGAGGCTTAGCAAGTTGGAAGTCTAATGTTTATACTTCTGAAGAGAGTTGTTTGTATTTTTCCAATCAAAAACTAGTTTAGAATCTTATTTAGTTATATATTTCATATATTAATTAAAATTTTGAAAATTCTGACAAACTGTTTATTAGAAAGGAAATAACTGTATCTATTTATGTTTAATGATTAAGAATTACTTATTATTTTATTTGTGTTTTTCTTTTTTGATTGCTGTTTTTGCTTTGATTTTCTTTTTTTTTTAAGTTTATTATTTTCTTGCCTGTTAATTCATTAAAATTTTATTATTTTTTATGAATGCTCTAATGTATTTTATTTAGTTAATTTTAAACCTATAAACTATCTATAGGTCAAAGTAATTTTTTATAATTTAAATATAAAAATATTTGAATGTTACTTTATAATAGTTTTTAATTTGGATAAACAGTATAATTACATTTATATTTGGATAAAAAAAGTAATTATATTATTATATATATAATTTTTTTTATAGGTTAAAGGTCCTGTGTATATTGATGGCCTAACAAGCAAAAGAGCGGCTGATATTTTAGCTCCTTATCGGGAAGAAAACAAAGTTATTGGTGCTGTAATGGCTTCTTCTTTGGGAATAGATATTATCTCATCATCTGTTAGCACTGTCACTGATCCTCCACTACGATCTCATTCATCACTTCATCTAATTCAGTTGTTAGCAGAGTTAGTATTTTATTTTGTGACATTAAATGTGATGTTTTAATTAAGAAATAATCAATGTACAGTGGCAATGCTCTAAATTCACTTATTTTTTCTAAATTTCTTCTTTTATAGTGTAATTCTCCAAGACATAGAAATATGGACTTCTTTGGTAATCTTCTATTTGGAATAATTACAATGGGTAGCATGAGCATTACCATTGCAAAAATCATTCATAAACACCATAATGGTATGCTAGACATACTGATGATTACTCTTTGAAATCATTAAACAAATTGATAAATCTTATTGGTAGTTCCCAGTTCTAATTCCAAATAGTATTAATTCTTAAATTACCAATAAGGACGGGATGGCCAAGCACATTGGGCGTGGTTCCCCAATTCTGAATGTTGTGAGTTTGATTCCCATCTGGGTAGGTTAATTTTCATTGCTCAGTGGCATTGGAAAATGAATCTGGCATTCCCACTCTGGTAAGTATGTTGCAGGAACCTCAAGGTATCCATCAGGGGTTGGCAAATAGGACCATTTGGCCCTCTTGCCGGACTAGTATCACCTACCAGTACCAGTTTATTATCAATATTTTATATAGAGTTTGAAAAAAGTGATGTTGATTCTTGAACTCGATATAAAATATTTACAATCTAAGAATTAATACTGTTTGGAATTAGAACTGGGAACTCTCATTAAAATCTATCAGTTGATTTGACGCTTTCATAGAGTACTCATCATTATGTCTAGCATACCGATATGGTGGTTGTGAATGGTTTTTGTAATTGCCATGCTCATGCTGCCCCTTGTGAGTATTCCGAATACAAGATTATCAAACAAGTACACAATTCCTATGCCTTGTAGAAAAAATAACGCATATCCTGAGTTGTTCAGCCATTTCTGCTGTGAAACAAAAATAGTGAGTCTATCTTAATGCTCAAGATAATCACTTTGACTAATGTTAATATTTACAATTCATTTATAAATTTTATAGGAAATTTCATACCTTTACAGCAAATTTTTTTCTGGTTTTGAAATCCTTAATTTATAATTATCAGTTAGGACACCTAACTCTGAAACACCCTGTATATATAGCTTCAAATTTGTGTTTCCTTTACTCTTTCCTAGGTTTTGGTATATAACAGGTTTTTCCACTCTATAACTATTAGGAGTGCAGGCAAGAACTAGACTCCCCTAAATTAGGGTTTTATTAATGTTAGATAATAAGTAGGATTTTATTAGGTAAGTTTCAAATAGATAGGGTTTTATTAGATGTAAGCCTTTCTATAGGAAGGCCATAAAAATTCCATGAATACCAGTTGATTTAAATGGCACAAATATATTTATTGCCCGTTACACTTCATAGAACCAACTATTCGATTTCTGCTGTATATTGCACTTATCTTGGCCACTAATGTGGCTATCAATCAATGATGGGTTGAGTTACATACTCATCCAGCAGCTGGTAGCCAGAAAAATGTTCATGCACAAAAGCCTGGAATGTCTCCACCTCAGAATAAGTCCCGTTCCACCCTTACTGTTCCCATCACATATCCTTCTTTTTTTCTTCCTTTCAGCAGCAAGTTCCTCCCCCCAAGATGGGGGATACAGATTTCAGAAATTCGAAAAAATGGTGATATGTAATTTTTTTTTCCATTAATTTTTATCAGGGAGTGGGGTAGCTCAGTGGTAGGGCACCGAACTTCCAATGCAAAGGTCCTAGGTTCGAACCCCGTCTCATGGCAGAAAATTTATTTATCTGTTTCATTGGCCGTGGAGCGACCCTGGGTCTGGACACCCTCCTGGGGCACACTCAGCCTCTGTAAAGTGAGTACCCTTAATTAAGTAATTAGTTAAGGGGGAAAACCTGGCAGTTGAGCGTGATCTCGGTCAAATCACCTCCTTGCACAACCGTTGACCTAGGAACAGTGCTTTCCCTAAATAGTACTGAGCCCCAGACAGACCCTTCATGGGTTGTAGTGGTACAGGTTAATGTTTATCAGCGATATATAGCATTTCCAAGTCAATTTCAACCTTTTCCAAATCAAATTCAACCTTTTCCAAGTCAAATTAAACCTTTTCCATTTCAAATTCAACCTTTTCCAAGTCAAATTCAACCTTTTCCATTTCAAATTCAACTTTAGAATTTTTGTCAATTTTCGATTTTTTTCGAAATGAAGGCCACTTACTATATTATCGACGGCATAGCTTTTAAAAAATACAAAAAAAAAATTGATTACGCAGTTGCATATCCATTTATTTTAACATTTTAGATTTTTTCAGTGTGATATTTCTATGTGATATTCAATTATTTCCAAGTCAAATTCAACCTTTTCCAAGTCAAATTCAACCTTTTCCAAATCAAATTAAACTTTTTCCAAGTCAATTCAACCATTTCCATTTCAAATTAAACCTTTTCCAATTCAAATTCAACCGTTTTCATTTCAAATTAATGTTTTAAGTTTTTGTAAATTTTATATTTTTTTTTAAATAATGGCCATCCCCTCCCTCCCTCCAATATGAAAGTCTATTATTATGCTCTCCTAAGTAGAATTTTCACTTACGGATATCGATTTATTGTACCTATTCGGATTTCTTAGGGACTAGTATTATGCTGTCCTGTACCTAGTTTTGAAAATAACCTCCATTTTAAGATTACGTGACTGCGTTTCGAATCATTTAAGTTTTTTTGACAAATTCGATATGTGGGTGTATTTTTATGTTTCCCGATCAGTAAATTTTGAAAATGACATCCATTTTATGTTTACGCCACTGTGTTTTGACTTATTTAAGTTTTTAGAATTTATCCAATATAAAGGTCTACTTTTATGTTTCCGGAGCCGTAGATTTTGAAAACGACCTTCATTTTAAGATTAGGCCACCGCGTTTCGACTTATTTGAGTTTTTCGGATATTTTTCATATGAGGGTGTATTTTTATGTTTCCGGAGCTGTAGATTTTGAAAATGACCTCCATTTTAAGATTAGGCCACCGCGTTTCGACTTATTTGAGTTTTTCGGATTTTTTTCATATGAGGATGTATTCTTATGTTTCCGGAGCCGTAGATTTTGAAAACGACCTCCATTTTAAGATTAGGCCACCGCATTTCAATTTATTTGAGTTTTTCGGATTTTTTTCATATGAGGATGTATTCTTATGTTTCCGGAGCCGTAGATTTTGAAAACGACCTCCATTTTAAGATTAGGCCACCGCATTTCGATTTCTTTAAGTGTTTCGAATTTTTATCATAAAAGAGTGTATTCTTATGTTTCCGGAGCCGTAGATTTTGAAAACGACCTCCATTTTAAGATTAGGCCACCGCGTTTCGACTTATTTGAGTTTTTCGGATTTTTTTCATATGAGGATGTATTCTTATGTTTCCGGAGCCGTAGATTTTGAAAACGACCTCCATTTTAAGATTAGGCCACCGCATTTCGATTTCTTTGAGTTTTTCGGATTTTTTTCATATGAGGATGTATTCTTATGTTTCCGGAGCCGTAGATTTTGAAAACGACCTCCATTTTAAGATTAGGCCACCGCATTTCGATTTCTTTAAGTGTTTCGAATTTTTATCATAAAAGAGTGTATTCTTATGTTTCCGGAGTCGTAGATTTTGAAAATGACCTCCATTTTAAGATTACGCCACTGCGTTTCGGCTTATTCAAGTTTTTCGAATTTATCCAATTTAAAGGTCTACTTTTATGATGCCGGAGCCTTAGTTTTTAAAACGACTTACATTTTAAGATTAGGCCACTGTGTTTCGGTTTTGTTAAGTGTTTTTGCTTTTTCCTTCCAATAAAAAACATAATACGAAGGATTAATTTATTTTTCAATAAATAAATAAAAATATCTAATCAAAATAAATAAAATATGTATTGTCTCATTTTTAATTTAATTTTAGTTATCTTTTTTAATTTTGTGGTCTCCTATCACAAAATTATAAGATTTCGAACAATTAGCTGAAAAATCTGAATACGGAAGGTTAAATTTATTACCAGTTGCTTTTCGGCTTTTTAGTTTGTATTCTGTGGTTAATTTTACTTTAGCTTCATAATATTTATTTATTTATTCATACTCGAAAACATATTGATGAAACTTTGTATTGAAAAAATCCAAAATGAAGCCTAATTAATCAAGATGCAGCGGCTTAATCATAAAATGGAGCTTAAATATTAGATAAATTTAAATATTAAAGATTAGAAAAATTTCAATACGTCTCGGATAACATATAAGTAGATCCTTATACCGAAAAAGTAAAAAAAAAAACTTTTATAATCCAAAACAGTGGCATAAACTTTAAATTGGGTCATTTACAAAATGGGAAAATCTACTGCCCCAGAAACATAAAATTAGACCTTTATACTTGTTAAATTCTAAAAATTTAAATAAGTTGAAACGCAGTTGCGTAATCATAAAATAGAGGTCATTTTCAGAATCTACGGTTCCGAAAACATAAAAGTAGACCTTTAAATTGGATAAATTCGAAAAACTTAAATAAGTCAAAATGCAATGGCGTCATCATTAAATGGATGTCATTTTCAAAATCTACGGCTCAAGAAACATAAAAGTAGACCTTAATATTGGATAAATTCGAAAAACTTAAATAAGTCAAAACGCAGTGGCGTAATCATAAAATGGAGGTCATTTTCAAAATCTACAGCTCCGGAAACATAAAAATACACCCTCATATGAAAAATATCCGAAAAACTCAAATAAGTCGAAACGCGGTGGCCTAATCTTAAAATGGAGGTCATTTTCAAAATCTACAGCTCTGGATACATAAAAATACACCCTCATATGAAAAATATCCGAAAAACTCAAATAAGTCGAAACGCGGTGGCCTAATCTTAAAATGGAGGTCATTTTCAAAATCTACAGCTCTGGATACATAAAAATACACCCTCATATGAAAAATATCCGAAAAACTCAAATAAGTCGAAACGCGGTGGCCTAATCTTAAAATGGAGGTCATTTTCAAAATCTACAGCTCTGGATACATAAAAATACACCCTCATATGAAAAATATCCGAAAAACTCAAATAAGTCGAAACGCGGTGGCCTAATCTTAAAATGGAGGTCATTTTCAAAATCTACAGCTCCGGATACATAAAAATACACCCTCATATGAAAAATATCCGAAAAACTCAAATAAATCGAAACGCGGTGGCCTAATCTTAAAATGGAGGTCGTTTTCAAAATCTACGGCTCCGGAAACAAAAAAGTAGACCTTTATATTGGATAAATTCTAAAAACTTAAATAAATCAAAACACAGTGGCGTAAACATAAAATAGATGTCATTTTAAAAATTTACTGATCGGGAAACATAAAAATACACCCTTATATCGAATAAGTCAAAAAAACTTAAATAATTCGAAACGCAGTCACGTAATCATAAAAAGGAGGTTATTTTAAAAAACTACTCATACGATAACAGACCCACGCATCGAAAAATTAAAGATAATTAAATAAATAAAAAAAGGTTGAATTTGAAATGGAAAAGGTTTAATTTGAAATGGAAAAGGTTGAATTTGACTTGGAAAAAGTTTAATTTGATTTGGAAAAGGTTGAATTTGACTTGGAAAAGGTTGAAATTGACTTGGAAATGCTATATATTACCATTCTTTCTGATTACTCGCATAAGCAACTTGTCAGTGCTATCTATTGACCTGCATTTTTCTGATTATCGGATTTCTTGCTGTTCTTTAATGTTGCTATTGATTCTGCCTTTTTCCACTATTGTGGTCATTGTATTAAATTATTATGTAAACTTTTTTTTTTATACCTTAATGATTTGATTTTTCAGTGGATATCTTCAAGTTACTGGTAGTGATGATTGCACTTATACAAGCGAACAAAAATCAGAAGGAAAATCAGATTTCACTCAAATACCTCCTGGGGTAAATGGTGTTGAGGACAGAATGTCAGTTATTTGGGAGAAAGGTGTTGAGTCTGGTGCTATGGATCCTCAACAGTTTGTTGCTATCACAAGTGCAAATGCTGCTAAAATATTCAATATTTACCCTCAGAAAGTGAGTTAAATATTAACTTTTAAAGATTGTTGTAATGTTATAAAAATTCACTGTCTAATCATAAATAATTCTTCAGGGATGTATAGCAGTTGGTTCTGATGCTGATATTGTAATTTGGAACCATAGGAAGACACGCACTATTTCTGCTAAAACTCATCATCAAGCTACAGATGTAAATATTTTTGAAGTGAGTTTTTTAATATTAATTATGCAGGCATGTACTGTAAATTACTTTACAGTCTTCTGTGGGACACAAGAATTATAACTATAAAATCTATACATTTAACTTTAATTTGGACATGCATAGCTTTGGTGTTTTTTTTTTGTTTGCTTTATCTCAACCTGATTCTATCAGATAATAAATAAATTAGAAGCGGTAGATTTTTTATTGAATTTTAGAAGTACCATAGGATGCGTCATAAAATTTATTTTTCTTATTCAAAGTTTACATTGTTGTGTTCTATGATTTATAGTCATCTCAAAGCCAGGTGTCAGATTCTTTTTTAGTACTACTCCTTAGGTTTTAAATAGAAGAATTCTGTAATTCCATTTCAATCCTTGTCAAAATTGAAGATTTTTCCTTAAGATAGTAAGTCTTTGACTGGAACAGATGGTAGTCAGAAGGTGCTAAGTCTGAACTGTATACAGGATGAAAGAGAAGCTCTATCGCTTCCATTTCTGACATTTTTTGTTTTGTGTAATGATAAGTATATGGTAGTCAAACGCTATCATTTATAAAAAATCCCAATTTGTACTAATCCTGAATTAGTGCTGTGTCACATAATAAATTCTCTGAAACTGATCACAGAAAAGAAATTATGGTATTTCTATTCTCCACTGTTAACTCACTGGGAACTATTCATGATGAGTTATTCACTTTTCACAAGTTTTTGAGTACATATTTTTGGGTCTGCCTCAATAGAGTTCTACAGAGCTTCCTGATTGGATGATGATTTTAAATTTTAAAAGTATGTTTAGAACCCTCTTTCCTCTCAAGTTCATGTCATCATTTTCGAATTTATTACATTATTTTATTGTATGAATTTATTACATTTATTACATTTGATTAAATTACTTATTGTGGGAGAAAAAGAAAGAAACCTTATAAAATAATGTTTAAGTGGTTCTCAAAAGCATGTCAAAAAAAAAATTCTAGGCTGATTTTATGATCTTTGGTGTAAGTTGAGCTCTGTGTGACGTCATTAATTTAATATATAGTAATAAAACGAAATCGCTGTGGGCAGATATTGTAGGTCATCTTGACAGATTACTTTCTGTGCTTTAATTAATTAACTTTAAGTTTTAATTTAAGTAGAGTTGGTGGGAAAAATCGTATACATTTCCTCACTTTTTCTCCCCCACTTGGTAGTGAAGATATTTTTGTAATTTTATAGAAACGGATTGCTGCCCATGGCGATCTACTCTGGATCACTGAAGTGGATCCTGCTTTGTGTGACTATTATAGTATAATAGGTAGAAATATCAGATTGTCAGATTGGGCAGGTGATACAAATTGGTGCAACAAATCATGTCCTGTGTACCTAAGCCTGTAAATAACTAGTTTTTTTTTCTCAATTGATATATTTATTGAGTTATTGGTTTGGAGCTTATGAAATGTCAATTCCTTGAGTATGAGGTGAATAAATAAAAACCAAATTTTAACAATATTATTTTTTATTCAAAATAACTTCCTTTAGCTTCTGTCATTCCCTTGTTAAAGAAATTTTTTTGCTTTGAATCAATAAAATCGAAACATTTAAATTTTACCTAATTTTCATTTTGGTTTCTTAAAATTATTTAGTTGGTCTGAAAAAAATATTAGTTAGTTGGAGACAAATCAGGGTATGGTTTATCTTCAGTTTTCAGGTTACTTAATGTTAGATGTTTGTCAGATTACTTTTTAAAAAATTACATAATTTGAAAATTATAGTTTTAATACATCCATAAGTACATCTGATATCTCCACATAATTGAAAAAAGAAGTTTTTCAAACAAAGGATGAAAAACCTAGTTGAGCACTGTTCATGTTTCTTTCTTTACCTCTGACTGACTGTTCATGTGTTTCAATCCTACAGCAATTATTCAGATTTTGTTAACAGGAAGAAATTAAAGATTGTTTCATATGGATTGCTGTTTTACTTTTCTGTATTTAAATTAAATTTTTCCATTACATGATTTTCATGCTTTTAAAAGATATTTATGTAAATAAAACCATTATAATGAAGTTCATTATTAATTAATTTAACCTGTAAGCTACACCTAAATCGTGTAATTATATTCTGTGTTAATTCAAGTTTCATTTTCCAGGGTATGGTAGTGCATGGAGTGCCAGAATTTGTTATTGTCAATGGACGCGTCTGTTTTGAAGAAGGTGAAGTGAAACCTGTACAAGGCTTTGGAAAATTTATTCCAACTTTACCTTTTCCTCCCTTCATATACGGTTCAGAATCGGTAAGCCATAGTTATGCCATCTTATATTATATTGTGTGTAGTCAATAATAATGCAAATATAAAGTCACATTTTTCATTTGATATGAAGCGATAACTAAAAAACTATTTAATGTAGGTAATTCTCAATTTCAGCATTATAAATTAAACAAAATTTTCTTCAAATACAACTGTTTTGAGGATGCTTTTAAATGACTGGACTATGTTACGTTCTTTTTTTCATAAAATCATAAATTATTCACTCTTTTTTTATCTATCTTTTACTAGACTACAATACGTCTTATGTTATCTCATGTACAATGAGGATCTTTGTAGTGCTAGCAGCTCCAAGAACAGATAAGACATTCATTTTATTTTATAAATATTCAATTCTTTTATTTTCCCAAAATATTCTTATTTAATTACTTAAGTTATATTATTCTACATTTTGTCAGATGTTTTTGTTTGTTTTTATATTACACTGTACTAGTTAGCAGAGAAAATGCCAAGCTCTAGTGACAGTAGAAAGGACATTCATCAGAATAAGACACAAATTTTAAATATAAATTCAATGCAGAATTAACCCGAAAAAATAAGTTCACCCGAAATAATAATGTTATCAGTTGAAAATAATAAATCTAATACAATTCCCGAAGACACAGTTTAGAAAATATATTTACTAAAAAACTATTTAATCCTAATAATCCATCCTGTTTATAGAAAGAAAGAGATTTTTGTTTTTATTGAGAGTGGATCGACTGATTGGGCTGGAATAAGCCGTATCCACCCTATGGCCGTAAGAAAATTATTAAATAATGCAAATCCGGAAATATACAATAACATTTTATCAATTAAAAGGTCAGGTCGTAAAAGAGTTAAAAGTGAAAACCAGGTTGGATGTACATGCGAACACACTAGTTACGTCGGAAATACTAAAATAAAAAAATTTTGTAGTATACATTTTACAATTAATGTTGTAGAGAAGGGTCTTATAACGGGCATAGACATAAATCTTTCTGAAGAAGATATCTTAAATCATATCAAAACATTATATTCCGAAAAAGTCATTGGTGTGTGGAAATTTAAAAAGAAAATTTTTAATAATGACACAAAAGAATTCACCATGTTAGATGTAAGGTACCGTTATGTGTAATCAGTAATATAGTGTCATAACTTTCCGATTTGGTCACCCTACCTCTTGGTGCAAAAGTACAATTTCCCCCTCCCACTGGCTAGCATCTCCTTTGACCTTGACAAAGTTAATGATATTATACCGAAAATGGTATACATTAATAACACTAGTAACGATTTAATTAACAATAACAACACTGATGAAACTACATGAAATAATATGCCTATATAGTAATATGAGTTATATAGCAACAAAAAACAATTAAATTTCTCATTACAAGAACTCTTAAACACACTAAAAGGTAACAATAATACAGCACTTGGCCTAGATAATATCAACTAAATATACTTAATAATTAAAAGGAATCAAAATTAGTACCAGACTCTTTCTTCTCCTTCTTCTTTAGCTTCTTCCTTTTGTGCCTCTCAGTTTAAGGGAGTGCACAGCCACAGATTCCATTCCGCTTCTTTCTAGATTCTTGGCCTGGCGGGAATTTTTTTCTCTTCCCCTGCAAAGTCTATCTATATATTCCAAATACGACATTGTCGGGCGTTCTCGAGATCTTCTGCCATCTGGAACGCATGGAGAGAATACTGTGTAATACCGTTACTGAAACCAGGGAAAGATTTGAAACTAGGTAATTCTTACCGACTTATCGCCCTTAGTTCATGTGTCCTAAAAACATTTGAAATAAATAAATAATAAATAATAATAATAAAAGGCTTAGCGAACCCGAAGATTCGATGCCGACACCACCAATCGCTTATTACACACCTCCCTCTACCGTTCGCCATCCAAACCCAGTCCCTTCAGATTGGCTTTAATGCAATCTTCCCACCTTCGCTTCGGTCTACCCCTTGGACGCTTACCATTCGGCACCGCACATATTTACCTTTTAGGAATTCTCACGTTACTAAGCCCAACAACTTTGCAAGCCCATTTGATTCACCGCGATGAAATTACCTCAATTATATTACCCGGATATAGCTCACGCAATTCGGCGTTGTGTAACCGTCTGAACTCTCCGGTTAACTCATCCTTCTTCGGTCCGAATATTCTACGCAATACTTTATTTTCAAAAACCTTAAGACGCTGATCATCCCTTAATGTAAGCGGCCAAGTTTCGCATCCATAAAGAACTGTAGGCAAGATAATTGTTTTATAGATTCTAATTTTTAAGTTCCGGGACAAGAGGCGCGAACTAAGTAGTTTTGTCACAGAAAAATAACAAGCATTTCCCGCCTTCAGTCTAACCTTAATCTCTTCTTCAATTTCGTTTTTTCTAGTTATCGTAGAATCTAGATACCTAAATTTATCTACCTGTTCAAACATATTACCATCTATATCGATATCACCAGTAGTATCGCCATTTTTGTTTTATCCACGTTTATTTCGAGTCCTAGTTCTTTACCGGCTTTCATTAACGTTGTCGTATTTAGTTTTATAGTTTCAACGTCTTCGCTTAACAGTACCAGATCATCAGCAAAGCCCAGCACGGATGTTGTTCCGCCCAGATCCAACCCTTTCTCGGTACACATTACCTCCCTAATGGCATGTTCTAATGCCAAATTGAACAGGACAGGCCAAAGAAAATCTCCCTGTTTTAAACCCGAACGAACCTCAAATTTTTCGGACAAATTATTACCGATTCTAACTTTATTGAGTGTCTCCGTCAAGCACATCCTGACTAGATTTACTAGTTTTTTTGGAATCCCCTGCTCGATTAGAATATTATACAATTTCTGGCGGTCAATAGAATCGTAAGCCTTTTTAAAATCTATATACAGCTGGTAAACAATACTGTTATACTCCAATTTTTTCTCTAATATTTGCCGTAAAGAAAATATTTGATCAATTGTCGAACGATTCCGTATAAATCCGCATTGGTAGTCTCCGATAATTTCCTCGGCGTATTCCGTGATTCGACTGGTTAAGATTGAAGTGAATATTTTATAACATACCGGAAGGAGTGAAATTCCTCGATAGTTATTACAATCCATCCTCGGACCCTTTTTGTGAATCGGAATAAGAATAGATTTTTTCCATTCTTCAGGTAATTTCTCATTCACCCAGATCTTTTTAACCAACCGATGTATTTTAGAAACTCCAGCTTCCCCGTATGCCTTAATTAGTTCAGTAGGAATATTATCGGTTCCCGCTGCTTTATAAGATTTTAATTTTCCGATAGCTACTTCAACTTCCTCTTTACTTGGTCCTTCTATTAACGGTTCAGCACTCTGGTACTCAGAAGGAGGACACAGATCATAATTTCCCGTATTTAAAATATTGTCAAAGTGGTCCTTAAACTTATTCAATATGTCAACCGGATCGATCAGAATATTGTTATTATCATCCCTAATTCCAGACGTTACGGGCCCTACACATTTACGTGATCTGTTTATACCTTTGTACATGTCTCTTACGTTATTTTTGATTCTATTAGTTTCTATTTCAATTATTTTATTTTTAAGATACTCCCTTTTTTTATTTTTGAGCAATTTTGTCGTTTCGTTCTTTGAGATTCGGAAGTATTCCAGATTGTCTTCGCTAGGATTATTTAGAGCTTTTAATTTAGCGGCTTTTCTTTTTTCGCACATTTTTAAGCAATCTTCATCAAACCACGGTTTGTTATTCTTATTTTCCTTTTTTCCTAGGCACGAGTTACCGACCTCTTTAATATTATCCCTGATCTCTACCCATAACTTGTCAATATCCTCGTGGTCCTCGTCAGGGAGCTCTAAAGCTTTTTTGCGAATCCGGAGATGTCCAAGTATATTTATGAATATCCTTATGTTTAAACGTCGTACTTTTAATTATCAGGTTTTTCGAGATGGCAAAGTTTATCAGACGGATCCTATTATCATTACTATATTCGTGCAAACTTTCTTTACCAATCGTCGGAATATAAATTTCTTTCCTTCCTACCTTTGCGTTCGCGTCACCTACAATTATTTTCATGTAATTTCGCGGTAGTTTATCATAAACCCATTCGAGTTTATCGTAAAATTCACTTTTGACTTCATCGTCACTGTCTTCGGTCGGACAATGTATGTATATTAATGCGATTTTAAACCAACGTCCCTGAAATATAGCTACCAAAATTCTATCACTAAAGAATTGTACGTCCCTCAAAGCGGTTAGTAATCTACTCCTAATTAGAAACCCGGTACCTAAACAATGATTCCCGCTTCCTCCGTACCAAATAGTGTACTTTCCTTCCCTCATCGAGCCCTCCCCTGGCCAGCGAACCTCTTGCAGAGCCACGACATCCAAATTGTACCCATTTACCTCATTCGCGACCGATTTTAGCCCCCCTGCTGTGTTTAAACTCCTTACGTTCCACATACCAATATTTAAATCCCTATATTTCAACTTGCGCCATAAATCCCCTAAAGCAGTCCCCCCCCCCGGAGACCCGAACAGGAGACTAGTTTACCTCCGGATAATGAGCGTTTTACCTTAGGGAGATTCATGACTATTTGTGGTGTTTAGTGAACTAAAGATATGTGAGTAGGGCGTTCAATCCTACGTCACACCCTCCAGCAAGTCTGGTGGGCCCCTACCTCCAGCAAGTCTGGAGGTCCCCTCCCTCCAGCAAGTCTGGAGGTCCCCTCCCTCCAGCAAGTCTGGAGGGCCCCTCTCATTGTTGATCAGCGAGTCCATCGGACTTAGCCGGGAGGAACTTCCAAGGAATTTCTATCGACCATCCCCACATCCGCCACCCGTGGGACGCTCCCCATACGCAGTAATGAGCTCACACGAGGAAAAACATTTGAAAGAATGATTAAATTTAGATTGGAATGGTGGTTGGAATCTAATAACAAATTACCCGACTATCAATATGGTTTTCGTAAAGAAAAATCTACAGTAGACTGTCTTTTGGCTCTACATACTGATATCAATATTGCATTTACTAATGGAAAAAACAGTAGCTTTATTTCATGACATACAAAAAGCATAAGATTGCCCTTCTTGCTCTGATGCACATTCTTGCTAAAACCATAAATAAGATTGGTATATTCTATAAATTAACAGATTTTATAATGAATTTGATAGATAATAGGAAAATATATTTAAAAGTGGATAGCTGGATAATTTCAACCAGAAAACACAAGTAGGGGTCTAGAACTGTTAAATAAAGGTATTAAAGGTTTTAAGCGGTGGCAATTGGAACATGGCATAAAAATTTCATTATGGAATATGAGGCTTACAAATCTCACAAAAAAAATCTTTTCCAACCCCTAAACAATAGCAGTATTACATATAAACAAATTCTATCACTGAACAGTGGTGAATTGATAAACAGCACGGTAAAATATTTTAAAGCAATATATTTAATTTAATATGACCTAAAAATTTCAAATTTCTATTTGGCTATATGGATTTATCCAATGCCAATAAATAAAAAATACGGTGCTTGCATCACAAAACTTTTACCGTTCTACTTCAAACAGAAATTATTGTCTGGCCAAAATTTTTGAAGTAAATTTTTAATGAAGCTAAATGTTAAAAAACACATTTCTGAATTCATAGCTTATTAATCATTGCAAAAAGTCTTAAAGACTAATCATAATAACACAAACCCTATTTATTATATTTATGATAGGCAATAAAATATTTTTATATTCCATTTCTTCTTTAACACAAGTACAGTAAAATAGGTTTTAAACAATTCCATTGCCTCAATTCATTGGATTATACATGGTTTTTACAAAATTAAAAAAAAATTTATAAATTTACATTTAGTTAAGAAATTTTATTTTGTTGCTATGGAAACATTTGTTTTTCGTTATATCAATAATAATTTTCAGAAATTATTATTTATAATTTTATTGTTACCCTCATGATCTTCTATGATTTTGTTTGTTAGATATTGTTTTTTCTAAAATTCTCAGCTTTCCAACGTTATATTATATGTACGCATTCTGCCGATTATTTCCATAAATTTATTTTCTTCCTTAAAAAAATGTTTCATTTTTATCCTTTAATCAATTATCAAATTCTTCCATAGTTTATATTGAGCTTTTTTTCATTAATACTATCAATGAAAGACAGTTAATTATTTAAAATAAACAAAATTAAAGGTACTTTAGAGCAAGAAATTTTAAAATTTGTGTAAACCTACATTGTATTAAAAACTGCTTAATTTTACACTAATATAATGCATTAAATCCAAGTCGTTAGAGCCATTTTTGAGAAAATTGTAAAATTGATGAAGTGGCACTTCCAGTTGGCCGATTTTAAGGAAAAAATTGCTGTAACATCCCAGGCATATACCTGACTTAAATATATAATTTCAGTTTCATGCGGCTTTTAGTTTTTTAGTTAGACTGTTCACACAGACACACACACTCAGACCATTTTGCAAGACCTGGTTATTTAGACTCAGGGGACCTCGTGGAACGTGTATTTCCATTGAAAACTCAGATTCAAAAATCTTCATGATCCCAATACTTTCCCTTACTATATATAAGTTAGTGAAAGTAAAAAATAAATAAATAAAATTTAAAAAAAAATAGACTACAAAATTCAAACTTTCAGGAAGAAAATTTCTGAAATTGTATATTGATTTATTTTTAACTTTTCAGATTTCTTATATGTTAGGATCCATTATTTTTATTGGAAGTACTTTTTAAAAAAATATTATTGATTTTAAGATTGCATAATCATGTATTCATTTATTGTAACTTTTTACATTTCTTCGATCATACCAGACTGAAACGACAAGAAACCGTTCGACAATTCCGATTACTTCAGCACTTACTAGACAAACGATCTAAACTTCCAATTAATTACAAAAGACTCATATACACGACTATAATAAGGCCAATTTGGACTTAACGGAGTTGAGCTATGGGGCTCCACTAAACCATCGAATTCCTCTCGTATCCAATCCTTGCAATCCAAAATCCTTCATAAAATAAATACCTAAAATAAAAATAAAATAAAATTTTATCTACCTTTCTTTTAAAATAAATAATTGCAATAATAGGTGCTATAATTTTTTTTTTCCTGTTAAAAATTTATTTAATGAATAATTTAGATAGGTAGTAAGTGTTTTTCGGACGTAGGATTAATGACCCTACCCCGTGCTTTAAATCGGGAATCAGGATGTGGCCTAGGAGACCACATCCCGCAGTCAAAGAGCTTCATGGTCTGTAGCGCCAACCGAAAAAAAAAAAAGTAAGTGTTTTTCAGCATAAACAAGAACCAAACAAAGAACATTATACGTGCATCTTTTAAAAAAATAAATAAATTTTTGTATTCATTTTTACCTACAAATGTAATTTAATTAAAATAATAAATTTTTTGTTTTTTGCATTTTTGAAGTTTTTATTTTTTTAAATCATAATTCCTTGGTAAAAACTGCCAATATAGGTGCATATATGATTAAAAATAAATTAAATATATTAATTAAGTGGTGTCAACTACTGTTGTGTTTTCTTGTCTACCACTGGTACTCTGATGTCTACTGTTGGTGAAAAACATGTTCTCGAAAATTATCTAAAAAACTACCTAAATATCAATGTTTAAGTTATTTTAGAAGGAATTTAGGACACATAAGAGTGTTGTTGGACAAATATAGCATAAAAAGGAAGCTTAAAAAGAATCCAACGAGTTACATTTAAAATTAGGGGAATAGTATCACAATAGTGTCTACTACTGGTGACTGTAAATAACCTACAGGAAGTTAAATGTAAATGATTCGTTTTGGCGGGAATAGGCGCATAGCCTTCCGCTTTTATATCGGGGTTTAAGGTTATTTACACTCTTGAATCTTTAAAACAAAACCCCGGCACTGGATATCGACTTTTTGAGGGTGTTTAACTGTGATTGCGAATTCGGGGATCTATTACCTTTTATGACACTGTGTGAGAAGAAACAATAAGAATATATATATGAAATGTGGGACTTAGTAAACACTTTGAATGAATTGACTCACCTGGTTTATTCTTCAATTGTTAGGCCTATAGGACAACTAAATAAAAGGACTATTCACTCCGGTATAATAAAATAATTTATTTTGACAACTGATAATAAATGAATATATATAAGTGAACGATCGGCTTGATAATCTTGAGCTTCAATGTAGTAAGCCTCTCTTCCCAGATGACGTCTTCTCGTGTTGGTGTCCAGGCCTTAAGTGTTTGGTGTCCTCCTCGCCATCTGTTTCCAGCTACCTGATCGCACCTTTCCTTCTTTTCGATTCTTTATCGATGTCAGATTTTCCAATGAGCAATTTGTCCACTGCACAATTGAGTACAATTCACAGTGCTACCTCACATTCCTATATATTATATATACACCTTCTCATTCCCTCACACAATGTCCTCTAAAGGAGTAAATACAGGGGGATGTCTACTACATGACTTTACCCTATTATATCATATGGGTCATTTTTTTATGAATATACTATCGATGTTAAGATTGTACAACCATTTGTTATTGAATAATTTAATTATTGTATCAATTTATATATTTAAAACATTGGTATCTATATCATACACTGATATCATGTTATCTGTATCTTTGAATAGTAGTTTAATTTGAATTTCATTTTTGTAGGATATGTTAATGTTCTCAAATGGAGAAAGCAAGGTTGATGGGCTTAAAGAAGATAAAGCAGAAGGAAGTGAAAAATCATTTAGTTCTGCTACAGAGAAAAGTGATTATGATATGTTCCCAGATCGAGCTGCACATGCTACTGGAAAAGGTGCCCGTCAAGACGGACAGCGTAATTTACAAGAATCAACATTTTCAATAAGTTGTTAGTATTTTTTAAATTATATTTTTATAACAGTATTACTTGGGTTATTTCATAAAGGCATTTAAAAATTGGCGTACATGAACATTAACATTAAGTTACTACCTCTTTTTGTATTTTTTTTCTCAATTTTAGAAAGTAGATCATCGAAAGTATATAGCTCATTCTCACATGTTCAAAAAATTCCTCTTTGTAATTCTGCATTTTTTTATAAAGAAAATTAAATTAACCTTACTCTTGTTTAGTTTGATTAACATCATGGACTCAAGATCTTTCTTCATGTGTTTCTTGTAATAAAACCATAGTCTTTGAAATGTATATTTATATTTATATTATTATTTATATACATATATATATAATTTTTTTTTTCGGTTAGCACTACAGACCATGAAGATCTTTGGCCGCGAGATGTGGTTTCCTTACATGTGACAGGGGGTCACCCAATCTCACATTGCTACGAACCATGGTTTCCATGGTGCAGCGGCAGGCCACCCGTAGCTCCATAGCCGATCCCCTTTGGTGCCAATCTCGACTATAATGTCCTTCCCACCGACTTTCTCGGGTTCAAGGACAGTGACAAATTGGTCTAGATCCATGGATTATGGCTGTTCGGAGTCAGCAGGCGCACCAGGACCTATATTTCTTTCCCCGAAACAGACCGTCCATGGACCGAACCTCAGGGGGGCTATTAACATCCAGGTAAACGACATCCCGATGGGAATCGGAGATCGGAAATCGGGAGATTTAAGTACACGGGGTAGGGTCATCAGTCCTACGTCCGGTCAGTGTGAGTTGTCTCCAGTAGGCTGACGGGCCTCACATACCATGGGGGGGAGGGAGACTCGGGCAGCATGGCTTTCCTGGTGGACAGTCACCCAAATCGGTCGGTCACCCATCCAAGTACTAACCATGCTCGACGTTGCTTAACTTTGATTACCTATTGCAAGCGCCTTAGCCCGTACGGCTACCCTAGCCCCCACATATATAAATATGTATATATACATATATATATATATATATATATATATATATATATATATAATATATATATTTTTTTTTTTTTTTTTTTTTTTTTCGGTTGGCGCTACAGACCATGAAGATCTTTGACCGCAAGTGTGATCTCCTAGACCACATCCCAATTCCCGATTTAAATTACGGGGTAGGGTCATCAATCCTACACCCGGTCGGTCTAATTTATTCATAATATCCACATAATGTTGTCTAATACCTTTAATATAAGTTTTGAAATAAACAACATTTTTAGTTTTATAAATTGATTCCAAAAATTTTCTTATTTTATTATTTTCTATCCTACTTAAAATTTCTATTTTCTCATAATCAAAAACATGATAATTCATAATACTATGCCTTGCTCAAGCTGTCAATCAAGGTTGGTTAGCTAAAACTGTATGACAATTCTTCGGTTATCTGAAACGGATTAGGCTCCACTTTTGCTCTTAACACATCATTGTCTAACATTGTTGGTCTTCTTGGTCGATACAAGTCATAAAGATCAAAATTACTTGTTTTGAGCTTGGAAAACCATCTTTGGCTCTTACAAATCTCTAATGCATTTGGATAATAATAATAATAAAAGGCTTAGCGAACCCGAAGGTTTGATGCCGACACCAATCGCTTATTACACACCTCCCTCCATCGTTTGCCATCCAAACCCAGTCCCTTCAGACCGGCTTTAACGCAATATTTCCACCTTCGCTTCGGTCTTACTCTCGTTTACAATTCAGTACTGCAAATATTAACCTTTTGTGAATTATTTCGTTACTAAGCCCAACAATTTTACAAGCCCATTTGATTTGCCGCAATGTAATCACCTCAATTATATTAACCGGATACATTTCATGCAATTCCGCATTGTTTAACAATCTAAACTCTCCGGTTAACTCATCCTTCTTCGGTCCAAATATTCTACGCAATACTTTATTTTCAATAATCTTCAGACGTGGCTCATCCCTTAATAAAAGTGGCCATGTTTCATATCCATAAAGAACCGTAGGTAAGATAATGGATTTATAGATTCTAGTTTTTAAGTTCTGGGACAAGAGGTACAATTTAAGTATTTTTGTCATTTAAACATTTCCCGCCTTCAGTCTAACCTTAATCTCCTCTTCAATTTCATTTTTTATAGTTATCGTAGATCCTAGTCACCTAAACTTCTCTACTTGTTCAAACATATTACCTTCTATATTGATATCATTGGCAATATCGCCATTTTTGCAGCTAACCATATATTTTGGTTATCTGTGTTTATTTCGAGCCCTAGTTCTTTACTGGCTTTCATTGCCGTATTTAGTTTTATAGTTTCCGTGTCTTCGGTTAACAGGACCAGATGATCCACATAGCCAAACATGGCTATTGTTCCACCGAGATCTAACCCTTTTTCGGTACGCATTACCTCCCTGATTGCATGTTTTAACACCAAATTGAACAGGATAGGAGAAAGGGAATCACCTTGTTTAATCCCAAACAAATCTCAAACTTTTCAGATGAATTATTACCGATTCTAACTTTATTGAGTGATTCCGTCAATCACATCCTGACTAGATTTACCCTGCTCAATTAGAATATTATACAGCTTCTGGTGGGAAATAGAATCGTAAGCCTTTTAGAAATCAATATACAGCTGGTGAACAATACCGTTGTAATCCAATATTTTTCCCAATATTTGCTCTAAAGAAAATATTTGATCAATAGTCGAACGGTTCCATCTAAATCCGCATTAGTAGTCTCCGATAATTTCCTCGGCGTATTCCGTGACTCAAATAGTTATGATTAAAATGATTATTTTATAACATACCGGAAGGAGTGAAATTCTTGGATAGTTATCCGTCCTCAGAATCTTTTTTTGAATCGGAATAAGAATAAATTCTTTCCATTCTTTGGGTAATTTCTCATTCTCCCAAATATTTTTAACCAACAAATGTATTTTAGAAACTCCAGCTTCCCCACATTCTTTAATTAGTTTACTAGGAATATTATCGGTTCCCACTGCTTTATACGATTTTAATTTTCCAATGACTACCTCAACTTCCTCTTTTCTCAGTTCTTTTAATAACGACTCAGCACTCTGTTAGTCTGAAGGAAGACACAAATCATAATTTCCTGTATTTAAAATATTGTTGGAAGTTGGAAATAACCTTGTTCGGGTGGTAATTGTAAATAATCTGTTAAGACGGTAATTGTAAATAGCCTTCGGTTTTGTTGAGAGTCTTGGTTATTTACACTCGTGAATTTAATTTTCTTAAAACAAAACCCCGACACTGGATATAGACTTTTTGAGGGTGTTTAATGTTGTTGGGAAAATGGGAACCTAATGCTTTTGTGACACTGAGTGACAATATATATATATATATATATATATATATATATATATATATATATATATATATATATGAAATGTGGGACTGAGTAAATACACTTTGAATGAATTGACTCACCTGGTTTGTTATTATTCAATTGTGAGGCATATAGGACAACTCAATAAAAGGACTATTAACTAACTCCTGTATTACAAAATAATTTATTTCCACAACTGTAATCAATGAATTGATCTTCTTAATCTTCAGTAGAATGGGCTTCTCTCCTCCGGTAACCTCCTTCCTTTTTATTGTCCCTGCCTCAAATGTTTTCTTTATTCTCCAGCTGCTGCCACTTTTCCAGGCTTCTTCCTTTCTTTATCTGTACCTTTTTCGTTGATTGTTTATCGATTTGATACTGTCCAATAAACAACTTGTCTACTACATAATGGAGTACAATTCATAGTGCAACCGTACATTCCTTCCTTCTCATTCTCTCAATTAATGTCACATAAAAGAGTAAATACTAGTGGCCATCTACTATAAAGTGGTTCTTAAACTTATTTAATATGTCTACCGGATCGGTCAGAATATTGTTATTTTCATCCCTAATTCCAGACGTCACGGGCCCTAAACATTTACATGATCTGTTTATACCTTTGTACATGTCCCTTATGTTATTTTCAATTCTATTAGTTTCTGTTTCAATTATTTTATTTTTAAGATACTCCCTTTTTTTATTTTTGAGCAATTTTGTCGTTTCATTCTTAGAAGTTCGGAAGTATTCCAGATTGTCTTCGCTAGGATTATTTAGAGCTTTTAATTTAGCAGCTTTTTTTTTTCGTGCATGTTTAAGAAATCTTCATCAGACTACAGTTTGTTATTCTTATTTTCCTAGACTCGAGTTACCGACCACTTTAATATTATCCCTGATCTCTACCCATAACTTGTCAATATCCTCACGGTCCTCATCAGAAGATTCTAAAGCTTCAAACCTATTCTTAATATCTAGCTCGAATTGAGTTCTAATTGATGGGTTTTTAAATTTCCAAATTAAAATTCTCGAAATCAAAACTGTTTTCTTTTTTATATTAAGTTTTTGTCGTAGTTTTGTGATTACTAATTCCTACCCACATTCTGCTCTCCGATAAGACCGCACATTAATTATACTGCTTTGCCAGCTGTGTTGTATCAAGACATGATCGATTTGATTTCATGTTTGCGAATCCGGTGATGTTTAGGTATATTTATGTTTAAACGTAGTACTTTTAATTATCAGGTTTTTTGAGATAGCAAAGTTTATTAGACTGATCCCATTATCATTACTATATTCGTGCAAATTTTCTTTACGCATTGTTGGAAAATAAACTTCTTCCCTCCCCACCTTTGCATTTTCATCACCTACAATTATTTTCATGGAGTTTCACGGTAGTTTATCATAAACCCATTCGAGTTACTGTAAAATTCACATTTGACTTCATCGTCACTGTCTTCGGTAGGACAATGTATGTTTATTAAAGCGATTTTAAACCAACGTCCCGGAAATTTTATCACTAAAGAATTTTACATCCCTCCCTCCAAACGGATAGGAATCTATTTTTAATTAGATACCCGGTATCTAAACAATGATTCCTGCTTCCTCCTTACCAAATAGTGTGCTTTCCTTCCCTTATCAAGCCCTCCCGTGCCCAGCGAACCTCTTGCAGAGCCATGATATCCATGGGAGGGGAGGGACTAGTTTACCTCTGGAAAATGGGTGTTTTACCTTAGGGAAATCCATGACTGTTTGTGGTTTGAAGATATGTGAGTAGGGCGTTCAATCCTATAGGGAAATCCATGACTGTTTGTGGTTTGAAGATATGTGAGTAGGGCGTTCAATTCTATGTCACACCCTCCAGCAAGTCTGGAGGGCCCCTCTCATTGTTGGTCAGCGAGTCCATTGAACTTAGCCAGGAGGAATTTCCACCGACCATCCCCACCTATGGGACGCTCCCTATAATGAGCCTGTGTGTGGAATGCATTTGGATAAACATCACAAATGTTTTTGGTTGCAGCTGTTACATTACTACCCTTACAAAACTCAAAAAGCATGCAATACCGGATATGTACCTCTTCTTGTATTTGGTAGGCCATTGCACCCAAAATTCTCCCCAAAAAATTTTAATTTAATCATTTACAACCAAAAAAGTCACTATAAGATTAAAATGCCTTTGTCATGATATATGTACAAATGACAATCAAATAGTGACAAGCATAAAAACCTAATTTTGCTTTAAAATTTTGTATAAGGCTATTTCCTAGGATTTTCTTAACTCTTCATTCCTTAATTAATTATCTTTCATTTGAATATCTAAATTAGTAATAAGATAATAATTTATAATCTATTTTATAATAACAAAATTAATTGTGAAGCTTGATTCCATACTTTTTTTTTTTTAATGATCTATCAAATTTTTTTTTAACACCTAAAAGTTACTTGTCAATCCAATCTGATAATATATATATATTTAATTATTACAAATTAATAAACCAAGTATTATTCAACTTAGTACTAATTACATTCCACAAAATACCAATTATAAATTATGTTGAACTCTTAAATTCTTTTTAAATTTTTAAATTAATGTAATGAATTTTATAGGTGGGAAAGACAACCTGGTGGGAATTAGGTGGTTTCTTATTTATTCGTTTCTATTACTGTTGCCTTAAACAATGTCTAGAAAGTTACAGTTGCTAAGCTTCTAAAAACATCATCTAATATAAATATATAAGTAAAACTTTCTCAAAAAAGATTATAATTATATATTTCCAATATCACAAAAATAAATTTTAAAAAATAGAGAAAATAAATAATTAATTTCATAACACTCAATTATTAAAAACAATTATTTACTTCTGTTTTTATTTAGATAGAAATAAAATTTTAGATTAAAAAGCATCTGTTTGCAATGTTAAAAGATGTTGGAAAAGGAGGGATTTGAACTATAGTGAATTTATATTGCTAAGGATTTTTTTTTCTATTAAGGTGAATTAAATGACACTATGTCTATAACGATTTTTCATTGTTAATAATATTTTCCTTTTTTTCAGGTGAATTAGATGACACTGGTAGAAGATCTTGCATTCGTGTCTATAATCCACCTGGTGGTAAATCATCTGGTGGCTTTTGGTAAATCATATATCAGCTAAAACACAAGTCTCCACAATCTTTTCATTAGCAATTTATTGCTTTGAGATCCAAAACTACAGAAATAACATTTTCTAATTCAAGGAATTTATTTCCATTTGGGCTTCCTGAAATCATCTTTATTTACCCAAGTGTTAATTTGAATCAAAATTCGACTTAATTCATATTCTGTAAAAATTGATTCTTTCTTTTGTGACATTCTTTTTCATATGTATTTTGAAAGGCTAAATTGCAAAAGATCGATAAATTGTTATTACCCAAAACTTTTATTTTGTGTTTTAAAGACCACCTTAAGTATTTTGGAAAAATAATAATATAAGGGGGCATTATACCATTGTTTGTCATTATTCATTAATGTTTAATTAGCTTTTTATTTGCTTATTTACAGTTGAAATTTAATGTTATATATACATTTTAAATGAAGGTTACTACTTTAAATGTGAAATTTAGTTTACAATGTTTTGTTTTCTGTTCAATAATTTATAATAATCTACTTTGTTATGTATATTTGATTTATTTGATCTGTTAAAATAATATATATTGTTTTGTTGTTTTTCTATCTCCTTCATATTATTCTTTTATTTAATGATTGAATAAAAATAAACTTATCAAGTTTAAAACCTAAAATAAAAAATACATCAAAATGGTTACTAACTTCTTGATATGTTTATTTTATCATTAATTAATATAATTATCTGTTTATTATCGTTAATCATATTAATATTTATTAATAAGTGCCTACATCTTGTAATATTTTCTTTGTTTGACATTTATATGGAGATATTATTGAAAGACTTATTGCATTTGTGTAAACATGTTTAATTATGTTTTAGTGATGTTTGAAGCGGGAAAATATTGAAGATTGTTTAATATAAATTTAAAAAACCTATATGTATTGTTGATTCTCAATGGTTTGCTATTATTAATTTCGGATTATAGTGTTATTGTTGTTTTTTTGTTTTGTAATTAACAACTTTGTTATCATTAAATATAATGATTTTTGTGCCATCAAGAATCAAAACCATTTTATCATTATGTATGAGCCTTTTTGCTTTGACAAATCCAATTTTTTTTATTATGTAGCAATAAAAGCATATACATACTTGAATATAGATTTTACAAAACAGGAATCATAGATAATTATATGGATTAGTAGAATAATATTTATGGTAAAATCTTTTTGACTCATACTTTTAATGTAATATGCCACCCATACTAAATTTAAAATACATCAACTCAGATTTTCTCTACTCTGAAAATTATACATGCCCTTTTAATGTTTAGCTTTGCTTATAAGGTAGCATGTAAGCTCAGCATTTAATCTATGTTCACCTATGTCTTATTTAAGTTTTTGTAGTAATGAGAAAGATGTGGAGACGAGTCAGCTTGTGCGCCTTGGGGCTAGGCTGTAAGGAGGGATTAAACAAACGTGAAATTTAAACAATCTCCTTTTATTAAGCTTTTTACAAATTATCCAGCTATTAATTATTTTGAGTGTGTGTATATATAAGTATACATCCACACATGGACATGTAATGTGTTCTTTATTTTATTGTTTCTTATATTATTTTATTAATTAGATTTATAGTATGTTGTTAGAAACTTTATTACTTTTGAGTTATTTTTTACTTATTTCTTATATTAATTTATATGGCACATTTTAAGAAATTAATGAATAAAATAAAATACTATTGTATGTAAAATTGACATACAGAAAAAAACATAAAATGAACAATTTAATGAGTGCCAATCAGTGGTACAGAATGGTACCATGGTGCTTTTTAGATCCCTTGGGCATTTCTGTTTGGAGTACTTTATCAATAGTAGGTGTGTTTGCATGTGATGTAAATCAATGTATGAATGTATGTAAAGATTCACTCTTTCAAAAATATTATTTATTTACACTTCTATGGTTGCATACATAATTTGAAGTAGAAATCATTGGGCCAGTTATTTTATTTTTTAGTATCAGGAAGGTTTTTATGTTCCATAAAGTTTTTTTATATTAAAAAAACAGCATCTATGATTACTGTTAAATATTTTTATAATATTAGCCTCCATTATTGTCATTTTCAAGTACTCAATCTACTTAAATTATGGTAGTATTTATAGTTTGATAAATATATTTTAATGCTTCATTTATATATTTTTGTTATATTATTCAACTATAGCTTTGCATTGATGAAAACTTCATTTTCCTTAATAAAATGAGATTAATTTATGTCCAAAAGGTAATGTCAGGATATAATTCATTTAAAAGTTAGTTATAAATAAAGGAAGGCTGGCCATTAAACAGTGCTAAGGTTATATTTAATACATTCTCATTTGTCAGTGTATTGATGTTATTGTATGTTTAATGTATTGTGAAAGAAATAATTACATTAATCATGATTAATTCATGTGTATGCTTATTGTATTGTTCGATTGCAAGTATTATCATATAAAAATTCAATAAAATTGTACTTTAGGCACTGCCTGGATCACTAATACTAGTATCAAGAACTATGTATATTATCAATTAATACTGCCATAAATGTTTTGTTGAACAGCATCAATTTAGTATTAAACATTTTCTAGTTTTTTACTAATTTTGAACAATGATATTTACTCTTATAAACAAATGTTTACTTATTGTAATGTGCTATGTCTAATTGTATTGCATTTTAATGTGCATATTGCACAAATGTAACTATATATTTTGATATGCATAGTTTTATGTTCAAATTTATTTGTTAATATTGTTTAAGGCATTAGATTAGCTATTTTAATTACCTTTTAATTTTATCCCTTATGCGACATGCATATGTTTCATCATCCATCAACATTTTCAAATATTATAATTTATAGTTGTCAAATTTGAAGTCATAAAAGAGATTTATTTAACTTAGTTTTATAAAAGTATACATATCTTATGTATAAGTACTATTTATTAACCTCCTGTATTTTGTTTACAATAGAGTAATTTAAGTATGCTATACAATTTGAAATTACAACATTTTTATAGTTATTCATATAACTACAAACATATTTATAGTTTTTCATAACTTTGCTTATCTCTTCTATTCTTGGTTACTGACCTATGTCTCTTGTATGGAAAGTAGAAGTGTTTAAGAATGAAATAGTTCAGAAGTTGTGAATAATTGTTTATATTGATAACTTTTTAAAATAGTTATTAAAAGAAAAAAAAAATGGTATCTGATACAAATTTTTATAAGGAATCAATACAAATTTTGATCCAAAAAAATAAAGTTTAGAAAATTTCTTATTACATGTTAATATCTTTCAAAATGATAATCTTCAATTTGATGAACCATAGTATGTTGCAAGTTCTGGTTTTAGGAATAACGTGTATTTTAAGAGTTTAATTTTTGTTATTTGATTCTAAAACTAAATATTATGGAAAATGTGTTTTTTATTACTTTTAGATAAGTTATTTTATAATCAAAAATAAAAGACCAAAGACTTGTTTGATTTGTTGCTTTGGTTAGGAATTTAGTTGAATTGTTGGTTTAAAATTATTTATTTGTTATGTAAATATATGTTTAACTCACACATTATGTATATTGTTCAGCTTTAATACTTGTGTTAATGTACAGCTTTAATTGATGTTTTCATTGTTTAGCTTGTTTCATTAATTTATTAATTACTAACAATATTATTATGAAACAATTTTCTTGTTTTGTTTATTTATGTTGAGAGGTATTATAAATGTCACCAATTCAAGTACATTATACTGATTTTTCTTTTTATTAAAAAACAAAAACAAAACTGGTTGTCATTTTTGCTGCTATAAAATTGGAATTAAATTATTACCTTTGTATAAGTTTAAATTTTTGATATGCCAAAGTAGATTAGAATTCATTTATTCACACCTTGCCCATAGGTTTAATTTAATTTATAAAACAAAAAGTTGTAATTGACAGTGTTTTGTATTAATATCTATATGTTTTCTAAGGGGCACTTAATCTCTCTCTTCAGCATATAGCCCAGTATTGGTTTAGTTCCAGAATAAAATAATTGATTTTAGCCTATCAATAAAGCAACTGTATTAGAGATGTGTCAAATGAAAGAAAATTCAGATATTACATAATATAAAACGGCTTGAGAAATAAATTAAATTTTTTAGAGTGGAGGAAGATGACTTCATTGCCAGGGGACGCTGAATGTGTTTAGGCCACACTGAATAACCTTTTATCAGTTACTCCTGATGCTCAACCTTCAGTTTAACGAGCTGGTTATAAGTTCTCAAAATAACCATTTTTTGGTTTCATACAGGAAGGAGGGTGAGAATATAGTTTTGGCCCCACTCCCCCAAAATTTCAAAAAAATAATGATTATATTAATTTAGAATTAGTCATACATATTATGAATGTATTATTGATAAAATAAATGGAAATATACTTTCTTAGTTTAATTTAGTGGAAAATATACATTTAACTATTTTATTTTCTTACTTCAAAAGGTGGTGTTCTTGTCATTATTTTCATTTCGAGCTCATTGATATTTAAAATAGCATGTAGTGGACTTTTGAGCAAAGCATTACAATATTAATGAGTTGAACATTAGTAAATTAAATGACCCTTTTCATTCTTTTATCAGTTTTAATAGTTTTCTGGGAGACTATAAACGTACTAAACAATGATTTTGGGAGGAAAATCAATTTTGGCTTTAGTTAAAAATCCATAGACAATTTCGACTTATTTGGCAGCAGTAGCACATCCAGGATTTAATTTTGGGGGCTTCAGCCCGAAAGCTTTAAATATATATATATATATATATATTTACGTATATACATAGGGATAATTACTTAGGAAGAAAAAGAAATAAACTAACAAGTTTAAGTGATTCTTAAAGTTTTATTTTTTTTTTTAAATGTAATTACACGAACAATAATACTTTGGGAGATAACTTTCTTTCGTAAGAAATGATTATATTTAGTAGAAATAAATGAATTATAATTTAAAAAATAGAACATATTATGATTGTTTTTGACTATTTAGTTTGGATTACTCGCAGTAATAACGATTAATGAAAACAAATTTTGTTTCCTTTTTTGAGGGGGAGCTTCAGTCCGAAAGTCGCTCCTGCACCTCCCCCCCTCCTCCCATCATAAATCCACCAGTGATTAGAGGGTAAAAAGCTCTTGGAAAACCTTCAGGAGAGCTTGAAGACAAGACCAAAACCTTGTTTGGCTTACAGGAAAATGATTGACAAAGCATCATGATTAATACTGATATGTTTAAAAATGCATTGACATAATTAAAAAATAAAAAAAATCAACTTTGGATTAAATATACTTTTTGTATAATTATCTAAAATTTAAAGAAAATAATATTTTTTTCAGGACATATCCAAAGTCGTTTTCTGAAACTTACAATGTTATTTACATCTAAAATAGCAATTTATCATGTATTTTTAGTATTAATTGTAAAAAGCGATGAAACAATAAAATCCGATAAAAAAGAACGGAGCTACGTGATTATGATCACAAAAATCGAGTTTGGAAGCAGTGTTGGCAAGCTTCGAGAGGCGCCCGCCAATGGTGAATTTGAAAAAATACAATGCATATGGGATAAATTAATTTATCCTGTTAATAAAGTAAATGAATTATAGGCATATTGGATAAAATACAATTCAAATATTACGTAATATAAAAACAGCTTAAGAAATAAATTTAATTTTTTTTGGAATGGTAACATCATCGCCATGCCTACGTTGTTTTGTTTTTTTTCTTTATGCATGGGCATATTAGCCAATATACTAATTCAGATGAAGGATTATTTTTACCAGTTTATTTTATTCGAAGTGATGATGTTTTAAATAAGGCTTACATAATTTTCGGTCTATGAGTTCATGTAAGGATAGTAGGGATTGTTGTAGGGGGGAGATATTATTTTTGATGAGAAAATGGTAGAAATAATCACGGTCTGTGGATGTATTTGTCAAGGAAAGAAGAACATGGTTGTCATGAGCATTAGCGGAAACAGCCGAGGGGCGCTCCCTCTGGAAGCTAGAAAAAAAAAGTTCCAAAAAGTAGCTATTTAAAGAAAAGAGAAATATAGGGAAAATTCATCCCCTTACACGAATTTCCTAATGTAATATAAAAAAAATTATTATCGTGGCCTGCACTAGCAAATTCTGCCAGGGGGCGCGCCCACCCTTAGGTGGTGGAAAACAATTCCAAAAAAAGTGACAAAAACACCTATTTAAAGAAAAGAGGATGCAGTTTTTGGGCCGCCGGGGAGATGCGAAGGCTTGTGCTATTCACTCCGTACTGAGTCTCGCTGGTGAAATACAAGATGGAGGGAAATCTATTAAAAAACAAAATGAACTTTATTTATTACAAGCTTGAATAATTTAAACTTAAACGCATCAAAAACTCAGGCAATTCTTATAGGTTCCAACTCCCTCCTTAGATCCATCTCCACCCTTCCTTCCTTGATTATTAATGACCAACCAATCTCCTTCTCCCCCTCTGTAAAAAACTTAGGAATTACCATTGATCAAAACCTATCATGGAAACCCCATATTGCTCATATCTCCAGAAGGTCAATTGGTACACTTAAACTATTTCATCGTTCTCGTCAGCATCTCCCACAACCTATCCGCAAGCTCCTCGTTTCCTCATTGATTTTCCCCTACTTTGACTATGGCTGTGTGGTATATGGTGGCCTCTCGTTGGAGCTTGAGGACAGACTGAAGAGAATCATGAACTGTTCTTTAAGGTTTGTCTTCGGCACTTCGAGATGGTCTCATGTGTCCCACCTATATTCCGAGTCAAAGTGGCTCTTCCCCTCTTCCCGCCGCCTATACTTCCTTGGAAATTTCTTATATCAAACGATCAACTCCCAGCACCCTTCCTATATCTACTGTCTCCTCAAGCCGAAACCTTTAGTCCACTCAATAAAAACGAGATCCCGTGATTCTGACCTCTATATTCCATCACACAAGACAAAAACCTATGAACGTTCCTTCTTAGACCGCTCCGTCACCTATTGCAATTCTTTGCCATATAACATCCGTCATGCCTCTTCACTGTCAACCTTTAAATACCTCCTTTTCCAATATCTTCTCACATCCCAAACAGACGATTCGCAACCATAAATTTCATTTTATGAACTGAATTTGTGAGAAGTAAATGGTGGTGCCTACAGTTTAAGTTTTAACATAAAACAGCAATGATTTTTTACTATTATTTTTACTATTTATTTGTATTTCTCTTCACCTCAGGTTGTGCTTTTTCTTTCATGTATATATAAGTTTATATTTTATACTTTTTGTCTCACTGTGTAGCAATATGAGTAAGTACGTATATATAGTTCCTTTTTTACCTTTATACCACAATTATTCCCGAGATTTTATTTTATCTTAGTGTTTGCTTATTATTTTATGAATCACTGTAAATATTATTACATTTTGTATTAAATTATGTTTCTATTAGATAGCTATTATTTATAAATTGTGCAGTTATGTATATATAGATATGTAATTTCTTTTCTGTCTTTTTTTTTCTTTTTTTTTTTTTTATCGTAATAATAAGTAAATTTGGAGAAGATTGTATGTTCATTTATGTATGTATGTATGTGTATGTATGTATATATATGTTTGTGTGTGTGTATGTATATATATGTGCGTGTGTTTATATATGTGTATATATTTTTTTTTTTATTATTTTTTCTTAGTGGTTACATACTACTTTTTAAATAATGTATATTACGTTAGAATTTTTTTAAGTTAGTTTTTGACCAGATTGGTATTTTATTTTGAATTAATTCATCTTTGTTATTCTAATAGGACTTAGTCCCAGAATAAAGTTCTATTTTCTATTCTATTCTATTCTTTCGAATAACCTTTTATTCGAGCACAGGAAAATACGAGTTTTCTCCCGGACCCAATTTTTATTCAGTGTCAATAGATTTGGACGCATTGCAACCTCCAACTTCTTTAATGGGCTTTATTATGCAAAGTGATACATAAAAAATATATCCCTCATTCATCCGTTCATAATCTCCTTGAAGAATCCATGGGGTTCATAAAACTGGTCACGATAATAATTTGTATATTTCTCATTAGAAAGTGCTGTTTTTTTTTTCTTAAAAAAGCTGCTGTTGGGAACGTTTTCATGATGGAAGGTATTAATTATTTGGTCTCCGATTTGATCGGAATCGGAAATCATTCTGAGTTTTTTTTTTCTTAAAGAATTTATGCTCCTATCATCTAACTACCATAGGTCATTATATATTTTTGATATAATAGCGTGAGAGGAGCTATGTACATTTTTGATGGAGGTGACCACACTTTGGCTATCAAAGAAAATGATCACATGAGAAGGTTTTGCAGATAGGGCATACTTTAGAGCCTTGAGCATAGCTATGGTCTCAGCGGTAAATATGGAAGCAACACCCCGTAGCTCCAACGACTCAGACATATCTTCGGGTGGATTACGTAAAACTGCACCAATTTCAAAAACTTGATTGAAGCCATTCCTGTGTAATGTCAACGATTGATCAGAGTATCCACTGAAGACTGCTGCTTCTATATAGGAAGGCACAGGAGATCTAAGCGAGTGGAGGGGATGCATTCGGGCCAAAGCCCCTCCCCTTCTCCCAGAATAGGAAAATATAATCATGTTTTATGAAAAAAATTATCTCTAAAAGCACGGGCGGATCTACGGGAGGGGAGGGGGGCTTTCGGGCTGAAGCCCCTCCCCCCCCAAAATGGTAAAGTATAACCATGTTTTATCGAAAAAAATATTAAAAAAGGATCTCTTAAAGTATTATTGTTCATATAATTACATTTAAAAAGGCTTTAGGAATCACTTAAACACCATTTCATACAGGTAGTTAGTTTCTTTCTTTTTTCTAAAGTAATTATCGTTATTTTTATGAAAAAAAACTTTCGGGCTGAAGCCCCCCCCCAAAAAAAAAATAAATCCTGGATCCGCTAGTGTCTAAAAGTAATATTGTTCGTCTAATTACATTTAATAAGATTTAAAGAATCACTTAAACACCATTTCATATAGGTACTTACCAGTTTCTTTCTTTCTTCCAAAGTAATTATATTAATATATCCATAAAATATATATATAAAAAAATCTTTCGGGCTGAAGTCCTCCCAAAATTAAATTTAGGATACGTTAGTGTAGGAAGGGAAAACTGACCAATTTGATACTTTATTGGGATCTATAATAACAAAATTAGTTTGACTGAGGAGAAGAAAAACATCTGAAAGGAATCTGGGATGGGAAGGAGATAAAGGAATAGAATGGTTTAAAAGAGTAAGTATTATATAAATATAATTGCCGACTAATAAATATGTTTTCTTTTAGGCCAAAATCTGTGGGTAGTATTACCAGTTCAACTAGTTGTTTGATGTGCTTGACAGTTGGATGCTCTGCTATAAATTATTATAGCAGAATCATCTGGAGGAAAGAAATCTTCCTGAAATTAATTCTCTACGATATTTCAACGAAGCTTCTCTAGCTTCCACCTAAAGGGCAATTATTGAGGTAGACCGCATTGCTCCTATAAAAACTCTTAGTGATTTATGTTGTATCTTATCTAATTTATCTAAATAAAAATGACTTTGCTGCATCGCCATATCATTGAGCATCATAATCCAACCTTGATAGGATTAACACCTTATAAAAGATAAGGGATATACTTGGATGAGACCTATAACGAACCTTAGAGGCCCATTAAATTAAATAATATAAGTTATATTCAACACTTTTACACATGAGTTGCTTAAGAGATTAATATGGTCACGTCACAGCAGTTTCAGCAGTATATCCAATAACTTGAATTTTTCTGTGATATTAAAGTAAATGGACCTAATTATATGTTGGCTGTTATTGAACAGTGCTTGCTGGAGAAAATTGTGAAGGCATTTTTTTTTTTTTTGGATATGGTAAAACCATGATTAATACACCAATAGTTGAGCCGTTCCATATTTTCTGTCATATACATAATAGCTTGATCCAGGCTTTTGTGGAAAGTATAGATAGTAATGTCATCTGCAAATTTTAGCGTCTTGATGTTAGGCGAGAACAAATAACTAAGGGAGGATATATAAATATAAAATAATATTGGACATAGGACTGCCCCTTATGGTGAGCCTGCATGAATACTTCTCGGGTCTATAGAAATGTTGAAATTGCATGAGGTTGATCAAAAGCTTAATATTAACACATTTAAAAGTGTTTGATAAGTCTATGAACACGGCAAAGAGATAATTGCTAGGCATATCCTGGAAAAGATAGCTGCAATGAGCGAATGCACCAAGTCTCAGCCAGTAGTGCTATCTATATCAGTATTATTTTTTAGTAACAGCACTTCTAGAAACTATTTATTAGCATGAATATATCTTAAGATCGAATGAAGAATGTGCAATTTATTTTTATTATTCATACTAAAAGACAAAACAAAAACAGATTAATTACTCTAAAAATAATTATAGGATTAACAGTAGCTGGGAAGTGATTAAAATTAATTATTAATATAATAAACAGTTCATTGTGTTTAAATAATTATTTATTTGTTTCATTATTATTTTTTATTATTTATTAAAGTACGAAAGCTGATTTAGCAGAGGTCCATAATTTCATTATGTTGGTATTTGTCGGCTAATTGGGAATCTATATCTATATTTTTATTTATAATATTGTATAGTACTGAACCTATCTGGTCTGCTAACTCTGACTGCTGCATGGCCCTGATTGACTGTTTTAATTAAATCGTTTAGGATAGATGTGAGTTTTTCTGCCTCCGAGGTGGCGTGTGGATTAGTTACTATAGGATTGAAAGTATCAGTGTCTGGCGTTTGAGGAACAGTAATAAGGTTTGCTAAAGAGAAACAAGAGGATGCGGGCTTTTAATTACAGTGTTGCTGTAGGAACTGCGTCCAGGGCGCTACACGCTAGCCGCCTCACTCAAGTCAAGGAAATCAGATGGTGGAAGGACATTGTCTTTACCTGAGAGGACTTGAAACTTGTTTCTTTTCAACACTGAGAAATAAGATAATTCCATAAATTTAGTTTTGTTTTGCTGAGCTATTTTTTTTTTTATACAGGCACTTTTTGCTATTGGACAAATGACCACCTCCACAGTGAACGCAAGTAGGGGGAGAGAAATATTAGGGCAATCTTTTATAAAGTGATCACCACTGCAACTCATACATCTCTGTTTACCACGCCACTGTGTACTGGAGTGGAAATACCTAAGGCAATTTCCACACTGACGACGGGAGGGATGTATGGCAATACACAACAATATCCAATATAAATAGCGATATGAACGGGCAATTGTTCATCTTTAAATGAAACAGGGCAAGATTCCAGGGAGTACACTTTTATTTTGTCACCATCACTTACGAACTTTTTCATTCTTTCAACTGAGATAGGTCGAATTTCGGTTTTCATATTACATAATAATTCATCCTCAGACAAACTTAAATTAACATCACGAATCACACCTGTCTTCCTAGTCAGAAATAATGGTATGTAAACCATCAAATCTTGATCCTTTAAAATCTGACATTCAGAGAGATAGTTGGTAGTTATCGCTGTTAAGGTGGTAATTTTAATTCGGTTTTGGCTTACTGCTTTTATTTCTAAGATGTTGTTATTAAACTTATCATTATTTTGGTATAGCCATTTTCCGAATACAATCGGTGAGTTTCACCTATATTAACAGATTTTGATTCGACAAACACAGAATAAGGGCCCATGTCATTTGATAAGTCTCTTCTGGTAAGCAATTAGATCAGAAGCCCCCCCAAAATGGTAAAATGTAATCATGTTTTATGGTAAAAAATGTTAAAAAATTATGTCTTAAAGTATTATTGCTTGTTTAATTACATTTAGTAGGACTTAAAGAATCACTTAAACACCATTTCATAGAGGTAGTTAGTATTTTTCTGTTTTTCTAAAGTAATTATCGTTATATATATGAAAAAAAAGCTTCCGGGCTGGAGCCCCCCCCAAAATTAAATCCTCGATCCGCTAGTGCACCCAATTACCTACCATTCACAAAAACTTCCAGGAAATCCATCTGTACAGTTTTTGAAAAATCCAATAATTATGGGCACACACCCCACTCTCTGAGTTCATACCTAATTTTAATAATAATAAGAGAAACAGTACAACAGATGTTTAGAGGATGAAATGGTACTGAGATTTTCTCAGAACTTCATCAACTGAATAAAACAACTTCATAATATCAAATTTGTAATAAATTACCTTATTTTTATAGATAGATTATCTTATCCTATATTCAACATATTCCTATATTTCATAGGCATTAGATTTTTTTATAATTAATTTAATTTTGATGTAAATCTACTCATATTAACCGTTAATTTCTATATTCATATAATATTATTATCCCTCTATATTCAATACTTGAGTATGGGTTTGAAACTTGATAAAGAAAACTAAAAAGTTGTTGAAATTAAATAAAAATAAAAAAAAAGGAAACAGCTATGTACACAGAAACTAATACTAATTAGCAACACACACACACACACGCACACGCGCGCACACACACACACACACACAAACGCAAACACACACACATTCTGGTTTCTGAAGGAGTGGATGGAAAAAATTGACATGATCCTCATCATTTATTTATCTTAGTATAAGTACATACATTCTTAAATGAACTTATACATCAACAGAATCTCAGTTACTGTAACGACTAACATAATAACAAACATCAATAAAATTTTTGGGCTAGATTGCTGCCATAACAATTACAATTTCAACATACATCAAAAGGATCAAGGGTTGATTAAGAAACTGTTTATTTGTTTAATTTTGGAAATTGACCATTTATTTATGACTTAGTTAATTAAAAAAACTAACAAACTCAAACTTTAATTAAGAATAGGTTTAATCAAAGTTAGTTGAGACAGTACATTGGTAAAAAGATACTAGTTAAAACTTATGGGAGTATTTTAGCTATCTCAATTTAGAAAATGATGATAATTATAATTAATTATTCTAGAACATAACTACTAAAATAATTATTTCAAACTGCAACTAGGGAGCCCAAAAATAATTAATAATATTTATATATAACAAATTTAGTATAATAAAAGTTTTAAAAGATTTAAAATATTAAATAGAATAACATCAAAAATATTAAAATTGAGAATCATAACAATATAAATACAAAAATAACAATAACTAAGTTAAAATCATATTCAACAGGTATAATTTAACCTGTTATTTATTATTTAAAAGTTTGATTAATGTTTACATTTAACAATATAAAAATTACACTAAAAATGAAAAAATACATTCATACATAAAGTTCAATAAATAATGTAAAGTCAATTGAATAAAAAATGGTAAGTATATAAAAAGAATCGTTCAAGATCATAAATAAATTAATTAATTTAAAATACTACAAAGTAATTTTTATTGGAAAATGAGAACATTTTATTACAAGAGTAGTAAAAGTAATAGAAAACAAAAGATATAAATAACATTTTTCACTAACATAACTACTTTCGATATGCTTTCTAAAACCATAAATATTAACTAACTTAGATATATGACTGGAAATGGATGACTTATTAAAATAACTATAGAGATTTTTAAAACTTATGAACTAGTAACACATGCATTAAAGATGGAAACAATTAAAAAATATACCAGTAATTTAAATATTTTTCGAAAGAACTACCTACATATCTCCTCTATGGTGAAGAAAAGATGAAGTAGAATTTAGAAGTCCAATTCGTTGTTTCTGCTTTCTTTGTTCAGTCATCTGTAAATAAGAAATAATTACAAAATGTTAGCTATAAAGAACAAATCTGATGTACTATGATATTTGATAAATACTAGAAGTAATCCTGTTAGGTGATGAAAATATTATTGGGTGCATAAAAAAAAGTAAAATTTAACTTAATATTTGTTATTACTTTATCAACATATATACACTTATTTAGAATTTTAGGTGAAAAAAAATTGTATTTAAAAATTTATGAGGCTCTTTTTACTTCACCATAATATAATTTTCTTAGTTCTAACCTTTCAGCTGTTTCAGTTTAAATTTATTCTTTTTATTATCATAATGTATGAAACATTAAAACACTAAAAAAAATTTTAGTTTACATAAACTACACAAAAAAAAAAAAAAAAAAAAAAAAAATTAAAAAAAGTGATAATACAATTTGAAACAATCAATTTATTTATTTTTATCAGAGCTCAGTTTTTAATGCTTTTCTCTCAAGTTATACCTCTTATTATCAAGGAAATGGTTTAATCAAGAAAATAGTCTTTCAACACTTACACTTATGATTGGACATTGTTTATAAAGGCTTAAAATATTCCGTACATCATTCACATCAAACTTTTCTCCATTTAAAACATGGTTGTATATTAATTAACTTTTATAAGCATTTATTTATTTATTTTTAACACTACTTCAAGTTTTTAAAAGTTAATTTCCATTACTCATTATATATATATTTTTTAAACTTAACTTCTATAAAATAACTTGCTTTTCAACAAAAAATGTGACAACCTTGAAAAAAGATAATATTTAAATTTAGTCCTTCCCTGTTTAGAATTGGACCATAGACCAAATGAATTGTGGCATTTGTGGTCTACTATCATCCCTTGTTTCAAACATCACTTACATTACACCCACTATAATCTCAAATCTAACTGATATTGAATTGAATATATTTTTTATTAAATGTAAAAAAATTTGACTGATAACCATTGGTAAATAAATACCAAACTACAGTGAATTAAAAATAAACTTTCATACTTGATCTTTCAGTTGAGATAACTGCTGTGACAAAGTTTTAACAAGTTGCTGAGTTGTTTCAAGTTGTAGCTGTAAACTACGAAATTCAATTTGTTCACCTTCGCTTTCATCTGCTGCAAGAGACATTGCTCTTAACCGAGGAAACCAATCCAGATTTCGATCCTATGTATAATGAGACATATCTGGATTAATTTATGCACAAAAAAAAACAAAAAAACTAAAACTAAAATGATCATCAAACATAGCATCAATTGATTGCAAAAAGTCATTAAGTAACATCTTCTAAAATTAACCTACAAAATAATTTGATGAATTTTCCCTCAGTGGAATCAAAATATTGTGATTGGATGAATTTATTTTTGACACATAACACAGGGGAGTGTTGCCTTATTTAAATACACTTAATCGGTTTTTAGATCAAGTTTAATTCCATCAAGTGTGCTTAGTGACTTCTTGAAAAAACCAATGATATGTTTTGAAAGTGGGCTGTCATTAAATAATGTTTCACCAAAATTAAATTATACTTTGATCTGAAGTACTTAAGAATGTATAATAAAGTGTCATGTTCACTATTGGATTCAAGGAGAGGGGACTTTCAGGCTTATGTTTCTGGAAATGTTCAACTCATCATCAGGACATTAATTGTTTTTACTTGTTTTCTAACTCTTTACTTCAAGGCTTCTGATGTTAACATATCGTCGGTTTATATCAAAAAAGAACTAAGTGAATTTTTTATATAGGCTAACTTTTAAATATGTTTTCCTGAATTTCGATTTCATTTGTCGATATAAAAACACTGTAAATACATGAAAATGACACAAACCCTTTTATATATCAAATATAGTTACAAGCGCAAGATTTTATGATTTCATAAAGGGGAAATTCTTCAAAATTCTTATATATTTAATGTTATGAAATGCCACTTAAAGTCTTTCATAAACCAACGTTATGACAGATAATAGTTAATTTTCTTTTATTACCATAGTCAGGAACTATATTCTATTTACCAAAAATTGGTCTAAGCAACAATCATATCAAATTGAAAATTAATAGCAGTAAAGAACTGGACTAATAATTGATGAAGTTAGTAAGGTTCACTTTATATTATTGGATGAAAAATAAATGTTTTCATGAAAACTAAATGGAACTTTGATTCTTTTCATAATATTTATATATTATAATTATTTTGATAAACCTCTTTGAAGACATTTCTGCAAGATTTGAATACTGTACAATGGACCTTTACAATTTGAGGAAGACATTACAGATTTCTCCATTTACAACTTTCTCCCCTCCATTACTTTTTGTTTATGTCATAAAAATGTATTCTAGTTTTGAAATAATATAATCCCCTAGGTGTTAAGTTCCCACTTTTATGGTAAATCAAGAGAGCCCAAATACAACTAACATTTAAACCCAAATAATTGACTTTCCAGCTTAAAACTAAATATGGTTAATAAATGAACCTTATTAGCAAACTAAATCTTTTAGTATTTCTAATATCAATTCTACAAAATGATAAAAGATAATATAGTTACAACTATATTACTGGTTTAAAACATTCACGCTGAGGCGTATCACTAGTGGCTCACATAAGACTACCAGCATTTGATGCAAGTAGTCTTGTGTTACCAGAGAGGTGGTAACATAAAAAATTTGGATCATTAAGTAATTAGAAAAAAATTCTATATAGTTGAAAATTAAAATAATGAAAATTTAATATACATTAATTGAAAACATTTATTTTTAATAACAATTATAATTAATAACATAAACATAACTTTAATTCAATATCATAAACAACGGCTATCGAAAACGGCTGCTCTTGCAATAAATGTTTGTTTTACACTTTAGTTTAGGCCCGTCTGATAGACGGAAGAGCTTTAAGTGTAGTTGTCCATGAGACAGAAACATGAATTGCATTGCCAACGTGTACATGTAAAAAAGATAAGTAGTCAATATCTCAATGATGAAAAATACTTTTTAAACATAATTGTTAAATATAAAATAGATTATATTAAATTTTTAAAAAAGTGCCAAAATATATTTTTAAAAACACAAATCACCTTTATCATTGCATATACATAACTTTCAGGGCCAGTGAATTCAGTTGGATCTTTAACTTTCACTAAAACGATGAAGTAAAGATAATGCCACATATTATGCTCACATTTTATGTGTTCTTCAAAACTCACAGTTTTATTATCAAAAGCAGATCTATTTAAACCTAAAACAAATGAAAATTAATAGTATGTATTTTAAAAATTACATTTAGTATTAATAGAAAACAGGCTTGACATGGGAATCACTTATGCACCCCATAAAAAAAAACTCATAAGGCATTAAAAAATATGAGCCAGAAACATAGATATTTAATTTTAAAAAATAATACTTTTGCACACAGAGGTTAGTAGAAGGACAACATAAAATTTTATAAATTAGTCTATTTGATTATTCCAAGCTGAACTGGACTAATTGCTAAGCAATTCTACACAATTAAGTTTTTTTATCAGGAGAAACAGCAACTAAACTGCGGCCAAAAAAACTGGCGCACTTTGAATTTTACATTAAAACCGTAGTTTAAAGAAATATTTTGAGCCAGAAGTAATAACAGGTATATGACAGGTCAAAGGGGTATTACAATGCATTAATCCTGTTGAGAAAATCTCATGATTCTCTCTAGGATTAATGATAAAAGTAATAAAATACAATGTGGACTTCATATAAGTTTGTCAACAGTTGCCTGTTCAATCGCATTGGTTTTGCTTTTGTGTTTTTTTTTCTCTTGAAAACATTATGTTGTTTGTATTAAACATTTTTAAGAGTGTAAAATGGTTTGGGATCCCATGGCAGTCGCTTAGATTACTGCGTCGATTGAAAGCCTGAAACAATGGTTCAGTGAGCTGTCCAGAAGTACCAAGAGACAGGAAACTACGCTAGAAGTCCAAGATCAGGCTATGCAAGAGCGACAGATCCAGCTGATAACCACTTCATTGCTATGCAGTCCTTCAGAAACTGCTACCAGACTTTAGTTGAGACTTCTCAAAGATTGTGTATTGCTTGGGATGCAAATGTCAGCGAGCACACAGTAATGGAAAGACTTGCTGAACTCAACCTGCAAGCAAGGTTTATTGCCCTCTCTTTTCTTTTTATTTAGGATAATGCTCGGTCACACATCAAAAATTTTGTACAGGACTACCTATATGAGGTTAGTGTCCACACCTTGGAGTCGCCAGCTCACAGCCTGAGCTTCAATCCTATAAAGCATCTTCGGACCAACTTAGGACGTCCATTCGTTGACAATCGAACCCTCCACGTGACCTCCAAATATGTGAAATGGACCAGATTCAAGATTGTGTAACCACATTATTCGTAGTATGCCTGCGAGAGTGCAGGCCATTATTCAAGAAAAGGGAGGCAACTAGGTACTAGGTACTACAGACTAGACTACTAGGTACTACAGACTAAAATTTCATAATTAAAAAAGAATTAATGTTTTATTCTTGTTTGAAAGAGTGTTAATTTGCTTTATTTTACATTAAGATTTTTTTATATGAATTCTCTTTTACCCCCTTTATTTGTGGTCTTCTACAAGCAGAATATGTCACACTATATTGAGGTAAAATTTTTTTTTTCTGTTGGGAATGAAATAATGACAAAATTTATGGTGTGCCGGATTTTTTGGCCACCAGTGTATTTGGATAGGTTTGCTTGCTGAAAGGAGAAGGGTGCTGGTTGGTCTACTTTTATTATTATTATTTAATGGTGCTACAACCCACGAGGAGTCAGGGCCTCCTGTAATGATTTCTGCCAGTCATGTCTTCTTTGTGCCGCTGCTCTCTAGTTTCTTGTTCCCAGGATGGAGCGGGCACCCGATGTCACACCATCCTGCCAGCGCAGCCTTGGGTGTTCGACTCTTCTTTTGGCTTCGAACTTCTCATCCAGGATCTTTCGAGTTGGCTCCTCTGGGCTCATCCTAGGCACATGACCAGCCCACCAAAGCCGTTCCACCTTTATAAAATGGATGATATCCCTATCCTTGTACATAGTCATTATTTCTTGGTTTGTTCGTCTTCTCCAGGTGGGCCCCTCTGGATCATAGATTGGTCCCAAAATCCTCCTGAGCACCTTCTTTTTGAAGTGGCACAAGTCTTCCTCCAATGCCCTGGTCAGCATACATGCCTCATCACCATAGGTGAGAACAGGCCTAATTAGAGTTTAGTACAGTCGGAGCTTTGTTGTTTGGGAGATTATCCTGCTTTTAAGCTGTGGGACTAGTCCAAAGTAACATCTATTAGCTGACTGTATTCTGCATTGCACTTCGGACCCCACTAATATAAATTCGTTCACAGAATCGAATGTGTACCTTTGAACTTGGATGCGTTCGGGTACTCTTCTTATAGCATTAGTGTTCATGTATTTAGTCTTGGACTGATTAACTATGCAGCTGCTATCTTAAGGCTTCACAAAGAAGCCTTCGCTCATGGCCGTAAAAGTCCTACCTATGATGTCGATATCATCATTGTATCCAAGGAGCTGCACCGTGCGATTGAAAATCGTTCCACCAACCTGAATTTCTGACTGCCTAATGGCTTCTTCTAGGGCAAAATTAAACAGTAGGCAGGCCAGCCCATCTTCCTGCCTTAAGCCCTTGCAGGTGGTGAAAGCATCCGATAATTTGCCCTCCACTCGCACAAAGTACTGGATGGACTCCATTGTTCGACGAATCAAGCATACCAGTCCTCTGCAGACACCCATTTCCAACATCACCCTAAACAGTTCCTCTTTCAGTACATTGTCATATGCAGTCCGGAAATTGATGAAGAGGTGGTGGATTTGAATATTATATTCACGGGCTTTCTCCATCATTCTCAGAAAGAAAATCTGATCAGTCGTTCCTTTACCCCTCATAAAACCTGCTTGATACTGTCCTATTTCTCTCTCGGCAAAAGGGAGGGAGGAGCCTAAGGAATAGTATTCATGAGAGTATTTTGTAGGTTAGGGGTCCATTTTGAGATTAAACCATGGCGTTTTGACTTTTAGAGTTTGTTCAGATTTATTCCATATCAGGGTCTATTTATATGTTTGGAGTCGTAGTTTTTGAAAACAATATCATTTAGAGATTACGCCACTGTTTTTTGACTTATTTGAGTTTGTCGGATTTCATTCATATGAGGGTCTATTTATATGTTTTCGGAGCCGAGATTTTTGAAAATGATGTCCATTTTGAGATTACGCCACTGCGTTTTAAATTATTTGAGTTTGTTCAGATTTTTTCTATATCAGGGTCCATTTATATGTTTTCAGAGCCGTAGTTTTCGAAAATGATGCCCATTTGGAGATCACGCCACTACGTTTTGACTTATTTGAGTTTGTCAGATTCCATTCATATGAGGATCTATTTATGTGTTTTCCGCACCATAGTTTTTGAAAATGATGTCCATTTTGAGATTACGCCACTATATATGGACTTATTTGAGTTTGTCGGAATTCATTCATATGAGGGTCTATTTCTATGTTTTCAGAGCTGTAGTTTTTGAAAATGATGTCCATTTTGAGATTATGCCACTGCATTTTTACTTATTTGAGTTTGTTCAAATTTTTTTCAAGTCCCCAGTGGCGTAATCTTGAAATGGTGATCATTTTCAAAAATTACAGCTCTGAAAACATATAAATAGACCCTCATATGAAAGTAAAAAACTCAAATAAGTCAAAGCAAAGAGTCGTAATATCAAGATGGACTTCATTTTCAAAACCTATGACACCAAAAACATATGAATAGACCCTCATATGAAAGAAATACACAACACTCAAATATGTCACAAGGCAGTGGCGTAATCTTAATATGGAGATCATTTTCAAAAAGCACGACTCCGGAAACATATAAATCGAGCCTTATATCGAAGTAATAAAAAAAAGTAGCGATGCAGTGGCATAATCTCGAAATGGTGATTATTTTCAAAAATTATGGCACTGAAAACATATAAGTAGACCCTCATATGAAAGTAAAAAACTCAAATAAGTCAAAGCGAAGTGTCGTAATATCAAAATGGACTTCATTTTCAAAACCTACGACACCAAAAACATATGAATAGACCCTCATATGAAAGAAATACAAAAAACTTAAATAAGTCACAACGCAGTGGCATAATCTTAAAATGGAGATCATTTTCAAAAAGTATGACTCCGAAAACATATAAATCGAGCCTTATATCGAAGTAATAAAAAAAAGTAACAATGCAGTGGTGACATCTCAAAATGGACATCATTTTCAAAAACTATGGATCTGAAAATATATAAATAGGTCCTCATATCGAAGAAAAATAACATTAGGTCAAATTATTTGAAAAAGTCGAATAGCAAATAAAACGTTAATAGATAACTTGAATTTATTTATTATCTAGATATAAGATAAACAGAATTATTTGTTATTCGTAGTTGAAAGTTCGAATAAATTATTCATTATCTATTATCAATTATTTAAGATAAATTTTGCCCAATACTGATGTACACTGATATAAATTGAATACCATAGCAACTGCACAAATATGACAAAATAAAAAAAAATACGAGATAGGTCATGATTAGCATCCAGAAGAACACAAACGACAAGTTATCTCGCAGTCAACAATCGACGAGTTAATTTAATGTAAGCTATAAGAAGTTGTGATGAACTTTTTTCTTTGTGATTTTTGGGAGGGTTTTATATTTTAGTTTCAAGTAAATAGCAGTAGGTTATCAGAATCTATTTTTTCCCCAATTAAATTCTGAAACTATATGTACAGGCTTAAAGATATACACTTTTAAGTCCTTAAAAATAGTATTTGATTTGTCCGTTCTATCGTCAATCAACTCGTAAATCACAATTCCAATAAACATTATGACACTTAAACTTATACACACATTTACACTTTCAGGAAACATTAAAATTTTATTTGTTAATATACATCTAATTTAATACAAAAAACATACTTATATCATCTACCCTGTTTACTAAGCAGCATGTTTTATAAATAATAGAATAGACTAATTTTAGGAGATTAAGTATGAGTATGTTCAAGTATATTGTTAAAGTAATTTTACCGCAAATGAAACAAGTATTTTTCAAAATCAATTCCTTTTGTTGTTTTTCACTCCTGAGATCTGCAAATGTATCAATTATAACACCAAAAATCAGGTTCAGCACAATAATGATGACAATAAAGAAGAACAAAAGATCATATACAACTCTTGCTACAAATAATGGTTCCTGAAAAAAAAATAAAATAATAAATACACATATATAAATGAAAATATTTCGTAAAAATACAGCTCTACTGCTTTATATAATAGAAATTGTAATATATATATATATATATATATATATATATATATATATATATATGTGTGTTTCTGAATGTGTTTCTATTCAGCCTATTCAGAAATTTAGTTAATAGTTCATTTCTTAGAGTCATATATATATATATATATATATAGATGTGTGTGTGTTTCTATTCAGTCTATTCAGAAATTTAGTTAATAGTTCATTTCTTAGAGTCATATATATATATATATATATATATATATATATATAAATGTCACACATACCTACTATAAGGAATGGAAAAATAAACTATAAAACTCATTATTTTCATAATAAAATTAATAAATTTATGCTTTTTTTTGTCACTAACCATTTTCTTTTATGATTGTATATTTTAATTATAATAAATAATTAAGTGCCACAAAAAACTATTTAATAATACAGGAACTTAATGAGTTTAATTAAAATTGTTAGAGCCATTTTTGAGAAAAATTTTTAAAATCAACGATATAAAGAGGCACTCCCGGTTAGCCAATTTTGATTTTCAAATTTTTTTTCTTTAAAGTACCTGTAAGTTTTTGTGAGAAATAATTAAAATTGTATCATTGTAAGTAGTAATTCAAAATGGAATTATTAGATTTCTAATAGTATATTATATATCTATAATATTATCTTTATTTCCAGAAATTTATTTTCAAACAGGAGTATTATTTCTCATATCTTCTCCTACAGCCAATCATAAAATTCTTTCATAGTTAATATCGTCAGGTTACAGGTGAAACATACTAAATTCAAAACCCTGATTTGGATTACTAGACTGTTACTACTAGGATAAAATACTTAATGTGATTACAAAACTTCGAAAAAAAATTAAATAAATAAAGATTTGACTTAGTGGATTTCACCAGTAGAAACATCTCAGTTTTGTGACCAAGAACGCTGAAAACCCGAAAATTGATAATTTTGACTTTGCGTGTCTCACTTGTAACCCCACGACATATATATCCTCTTTTTATTACTTATAACAATGAAAGAGGTTAATTATTTCAAAGAAACAATATTAAATAAAAATTCAATATTTCAATAATTTGTTCACCTTTTAGTTAAAGTCAGTTTTTAAGGACCAATATCTTATTTTCTTGTTAAATATCTACCCAGATAATTTATTTTGCATTTAATGTCTTTATTTTAATCACTAATTCTATTTATTACACCATGAGTAATGTCTATAATATATTGTCATTGGTTTATTGCAAACCGTTATTAAGTAATATTTACCAAAATTAAATCAGTAAGTGATACTTTGATGAATATTCCCTTTGTGAAATCAACACATTCTGCATTTATTGTATTTATATTTGACACATAAAAGGTTTGTCATTTTGATGCACTCTTTTTCAACAAATAAGGTCAAAATTCATTAAACTTACATAAAACTTAAGCTCCATGATAAATGAACTTATAAGGAGAGGATACAGTCTGTGGATCACCGATTTCAACCATATTTTTTTGGCGATACTACATCGAAAAATATTGGACACATATCCCAGTATTCTTTTCAATGGCTCCCAGGAGCCCAGAAAAAAAAAAAATTATATAACCTTCTGAGGAGGACCGCGATGATATAGACAAGCTATGGGTAGGGATCAGGGATAACATTAAAGTGGACGGTAACTTGTGTCTTGAGAAAAAGGAAAACAGATGAACAAACTGTGGTTCATATGTGATAAGATGAACATGTGTGATAAGAGAAAAGCTGCTAAATTAAAAGCTCAAAATAATCCTGGCAATGACAATCTTGAATACTTCCAAACCTCAAAGAATGAAACTACAAAATTACTCAAAAATAAAAAAAGGGAGTATCTTAAACATAAAATAATTGAAATAGAAACTAATAGAATAGAAAATAACGTAAGAGGCATGTACAAAGGTATAAACAGATCACATAAATGTTTAGTGCCTGTCACGTCTGGAATTCTAGTTTTTAGGATCCTTTAAAACTCTTAAATATGAATTGTTACATAAATAAAAAAATACATTTAGTAGTTTTCTTGGATGAATTTGTTTCTGGTCGTCAACTAAAGAACTCATAACTGCTCAGGATTTTCTTCAAATTTAACTTTAATATAACCATTGGAAAACTCAATTAATGCTCTTCCAACTGACATTGATACATTTGGGATTTCATTTTTTTTCAAGTCAGATATTAAGAAAAACTTCCAACCAGTTTTTATTTTATATCATTAGTTTTAATTTGTTTACAAAGGTTTGAGTTATACTGATTCGTGCAGTATACAGAGGACTAAATCCCTATTAATTTTCATGTGGATTGATGGCGCCATTCTAAAGTTATCACAAGTTTTGTGGTTGTTGATGAAATTTCGAAGGGTCTAGGCTGAACTTTGGTGAAGAAAATTTTAATTTTTCGATTGCTATGACAATTCGTATTTAAGGATTTTTGGAGGTGCAAAAAATAAATATCAACTTTGTTTCTCTCTAAAAAATTATTTATTCTAGATACCAGATTGGATTTTAATAAATATTATATTCCACGGATAGCTAGAGTATGGGCACAATTTGGATCAGCCGACAAAGCAATGTGGGAGTAAATATTTTTTTAGGGAGAAACAAAGTTGTTATTCATTTTTCACACCTCAAAAAACTGTTATATACAAATTTCTATGGCGATCAAAAAATAAAAATTTCCTGCACAAAATTTTTGCCTTTACACGAAAAATGTGATAACTTTAGAACGGCTCTATCAATCCACATGAAAATTTGGATTACTACCGTATGAAAATTTATACCGTTACTACACAAAACGGTAAAAATCTAACCTTCGTAAACAAATTAAAACTAACGATATAAAATAAAAACTGGTTGGAAGTTTCTCTTAATATCTAGCTTGAAAAAAAATTAAATCCCAAATTTATCAGTGTCAGTTGGAACAGCATTAATTCAGCTTTCCAAGGTATATATTAAAGTTGAATTTGAAGAAAATCCTGAGCAGTTATGAATGCTTTAGTTGACGACCAGAAAAAAATTCATCCAAGAAAATCAAATCAAAACGAAAAGCACGAAAAGAAAAGCAAATCAAATTTGCTTTTTGATAACAAAGATTTACTTGGCCTACTTCATTGGGAACACCTTTTGGTTTTTGTAATTTATGATACATTATAATTCATTTAATACAATAGTTAATATTTTTTTCTTATTCTGCAAAAAAAAAAAACAAAAAAAAAACATAAATTTTGTTTGAAATTATATAATATTTTGTTTCCTCTGCTCCTAGGACCCATTAGAAAGAATGCCAGGAAATGTGTCCAATATTTTTCTAAGTATCTCCAAAAAAAAATTGATTGAAATCGATGACCCACAGACTATATCCTCTTCCTGTTAGTGATTTTTTTTGCAATAAACTGAGAATACATGAAACGTGTAACTACTGGGTACAATAGATCTCTCATTAGACACGCTCGGCTTAGTCTGCTATTTGAATACTTAAAAGACTCTATTTCCCCTTTAGTTAGTTATAATTTTCTTTCATAGTCTATTTTTGTTCAATATTTGTTACTACTGATAATGTGAGATGATAATTAATTATTCCAAATAAACAAAATTAAAGGTAATTCAGATTAGAAAAAATATAAAATTTGCTTTTAAGCCTCTTCAGACTATTTCAATGAAGTAAATACTTATTTAATACTTAAAATCATTCAATTTTATATATATTTTAATCAAAATCGTGGAGCCATTTTTAAGATAATCATAATAAGGAGTAAAATCGATAATAAGCAGTCTCACTTCCAGTTAGTCGATTTTGACAAAAAATTTGCTGTAACCCTAGGGTGTTACACCCTATACCATCTTTAACTTCAGTTCCTTGTGGCTTTTTGTTTTTGCACAAGGCTATTGACAAATTTGCATGCACACACCCACCTACAAAAACACACACACACACACAAATACACAAACCATTTTACATGACTTGATTATTTGGACACAGAGGGCCTCAAAACGTGTATTTATATTGAAAACTCAAATTTAAAATTTTTTATGATTATAATATTTTTTTTTAATATGTATTTCATACATAGATAAGTGAGAGTAAAAATGAATATCAAACATACAAGTTCATAGAAAGTAACGGAGAATGACAAAAAGCAAATGATTTTTAATTGTTGTAGTTAATAATGTCTACTTTTATATTATTGAACAGGAAATAAACGTTTCCAAGGGAGCTAAATGAAATTTTCATAGAAAATAATTTTTTTTCAGCATGATTATTCAAAAATATATAATGCACAGAATTGTCAAACTTAAATTAATTGTCTTGAGTTTATATTTATAATTAAAGTAACGGGCATAATAATCTCGCAATTTATCACCCTAAAACCCCTACTCTACCCTATAATTAAAGCAATGTTCTTAAAATTTATTAACTTCCTAAAAAATTAATTCCTGTTGTGCTGCATCACACCAGAATTTTTTTAGTTTGTTGAAGGATAAATCAGAAAAACGACCTTTATAATTACCTGTCCTTTAAAATTTTAGAAAATTATTAGTTAAAAAACAAATTTCCAGAAGTTAGTATTCATAAAGTCCAGATGTACACAACACAAAAACCAAAATTTTTTTGAGTCAGTAAGTTTTAAAAAAGTTATTATTGCATTCAAATTTCAATTAATAAAATTATCATTAATGGAACAAAAATAACATTACACTTCATAATGATAATATTAATTAAAATAAAATTATATTATTTAATGTTATACTGAGTTTATTTGTAAAAAAATAAACATACCTGACTGCTCGGGGCTCTAAGAATGTCACCAATTCCTCCACCATTTCTTAATCCTTGATTTAATGTTGTTACAATACACATAATTAAAGAATCACATGCTCTTTCTTTTGCTTCTGTATCTAAATGTAACTCAGGGCTATCTAAAATCAAAGTAACAAACAATAATATGTGAACATTTGTTTATGAAACAGTATAACAGAAAATAAGTTATCTATTGCTAAAAATGTGTATAAACACATTTTTCACAATAAAACCCACTAAATAGTCCTTGAAAATAATATAAAGGCATAGTGAAACTGTAAGTTTCTGTACCACTAACCAGCTATAATAATAAGCCAATACCACTAACAACCACTACCAACATGGCTCCACTTATCCCTATCAAAACGCAAATCCATAAGATTAGACTAGGACTGTCTAATCCTTTAAATTATATGTTTGTCTAACCCTTCGACATTTGCAAGTTGGTTTAGCATTAATAAACTTTTTAGGAATTCAGTCATTAATAAGTTTTTATTAATTTTTCATTATTTACATGCCCATTTCAAATGTCACATCCTGAGTACTTGAAATTATGTATTAGTTATGAAATAACATGAAAATTAGAGCTGTAATTTACATTGACAAACAGTGGTAAAATAACGAAAACGTTTACAAAGTAAACCTCTTAATTTTTTTTTTGTGTTACAGACTTATAACACTTTCCAATATAAAATGAGAATAGTGGAAAGAGTTTTGACAGAAAGAGGCTCACCATAGGCCTCATTTCATTTTGAGATATATAAATAAGTAAGTAGCAAGGGATCTGATTATAAAATGAGAGCTCAGAAGTTATTTTAATGTAAAAAATCATGTAAAAGAAAGTATAGACGTTACAGGATGTAAAAAGATTATAATGTTAGTATTACATTTGTTGACATAATTATTAGTATGATAAAAAGCTATAACAGTGACTTTCTAATTTTCATTCAAAACAGCAATATTTAATGAATAAAATTTAATTTAATTTTAATTTTAATTTAATGAATAAAATCATATGTGTTGTAAAACAAATAACAAATGCTGTAGATTTGTGAAAGTGAAAAAGTAGTAACTTTTAATTATTAAGTGGAGCTTTTAAATTTTTTATTTATTTGAGAAAAAATGAAACTAGACAATTGAGATCAATAATAGATCATATAATTATTAAACAGCAAAGTAATATAAAAGTATGGGATGCGAGGGTATATAGAGGAGCTGAAATCTCAGCTCCAATCCAATCGGATAGGACCATTGTATGCTAAAATCAGTATGCTTCTTCGAATGGATTAATGTAGCTAAATCATATAAATAACAAGGAAGATATGGGAAAAGGAAAGAGGAAGATGTCTTTAAGTTAGAGCTATTACAAGACGAAGGTATCAGAAACCTCTTTGAATAAAGAATAAGGGAATTACTAAACAAATTTAATGGAGAGAGCACCCAAGAAATCTGTGACTTTTTGCCAAGTTCGCTAAAGAGAATCGCCTTTGAAGTTCTTGAGACAAAGAAAGATATATTAAAATAAAGGAATGAATCACAGAAGACATATAAAACAGAATCAAAGAGAAAAAACGAGCATATCTTAAATGGATCAGCACAAAAAAGAAAAAATCTGGGGAGTACAATACACAACTTTCACTTACCGCTCTACTTTGAACAGAAATTATTTTCTGGCAATGTTGTGCTATTATAAAATTTGTATATTTTAAATGGAGCTAAAGCTTAAAGCTTACAGATAATAAATCATTAAGACCATTAAAATAACTAAAACTCCTTTTTTTTGTATCAAAGGTAGGCAATAAAAATCTAGTTACTCCATCCGTTTTTATAAACCACATAACTTCAGTCACTGAGCTATGTGTGCCTTTCAGTTGACAGAATGACTAACTCTCAATTGAGTTAACTCTCAATTATTTGTGAAATTTCAACATTTATGACTAATGACATTTTAGGGATATTTTTAGTTGGAAAAGTTATATATATACAGACAGTGAGTAAATAGATTCCAGAGTAGGTGATTGCAGTGTTGAAATATATAACTATCAATAAAGCTATAAATTTTCCCACTAGAAACATAACTAAAATTAATATTCAAGAATGTTGAAATTGGAGTCATCATGTTAACTGAAAGGCTCATATATGTCTAGAGAGATTTGAAAGTACCTCTGAATATTTAACCTATAAATGATTATGAATTGTAGGACTATTAGTTATTAAACCATTATTTTTCATTGTAAAGTTTACTAAAATGAAATTATAAGATTTTCATTGACTGCTATAGATAGTTCAAAAGTTGTCGCACTAATTTTAACTGGATAATGTTGGAATTTCACAAAGGGAAAATTCATCAAATTATTCACTAATTTAATTTTCGAAAAGGTTTAATTATGATATTTCGGAATAAACGGCCAATAAATAACTAATTATTTAAATATAATATCAGATCTAGAGTTATTAAACTATAGTAAATGTATTTAAGATTATAAACATATCCATGAAATATTTTTATATTTCATGGGTGATAAATATTCAGGATGCAGTCATTATAAAGTTTTTATTAGTGCCGATATTTCAACCCAAACATGTGGGTCAACAGGGTGTGTTTTGAGCACTGAAGGATTCAAGCACTCAAGAACAGTCGACTAACTTCCTTCAATAATTTTTATATTTCACTTCTTCTTTCACACAAGTACAATGAAATAGTATTTTAAACAAGGTCATTGCCTTGATTTGATGGATTGTAAATACCTTTTTTTTTTTCAATTGCCTTGATTCGATGGATTGTAAATACTTTTTTTTTTCAATTGCCTTGATTCGATGGATTTTAAATACTTTTCCCAAACTTAAAAAAAAAAATTTAAAGGCTTACATTTAGTAATAAAATTTCATTTGGTTTCCTTTGAAACACGTGATTTACGTTAAATAATGTTAGTATTCAGAAATTATTATTTATACTTATTTTTGTCACTCTCCATTACCTTCTACAACTTTATTTATTTGATTTTTTTTTTCTAAAATTCTCCACTTTCCAACGATATATTATATGAATACCTTCTGACTATTATTTCCAGAGATTCATTTTCGACCTCGATAAGCATTTTTCTTTATTATTCCATTATTTAATGATCAAATTATTTCTAAAGTAATATTTAGCATTTTTTCGTACCTCCTAACAATGAGAGATAGTTAATTATTCAAAATAAATCAAATTAAAGGTACTTTAGAGGAAAAAATGTTAACATTGGGCATTTAAGCCCTGTAAAGTGACATGAATAGGGATAAGACCTAAATGATATTAAAGACTACTTAATTATACAATGATACACCGAGTTTAATCAAAATTGTTGAAGCAGTTTTTGAGAAAAATGTAAAAATGTGTATCGCCGTTGATATAAAGTGGCACGTCTGGTTAGCCGAGTTTAAGGAAAAAGTTGCTGTAACATCTCAGTCATATACCTATCTTAAATACGTTATATCAGTTTTGTATGAACGTTCATTTTTAAACTAGACTGTTCACACACACAGACCATTTTGCGGGACTTGATTATTAGGACTTAGGGGACCTCAATACGTGTATTTCTGTTGAAAACTCAGATTCGAAAATTTTCACGATCGAAATACTTACCCTTACTATATATTGCATATATAAGTAAGTGAAAGTAAAACTGCTTACTATATATACTAACATATGGGAATCATGTGACATCAATGTGGATAGCTGATATTAAAGAGCATTCAATTGTACATCAATATACTAAGTTTAATCAAAATCGTTAGAGCTGTTTTGAGAAAATTGTAAAAATATGTAAAATTGATGACATAAAGTGGCACTTCCAGTTGGCTGATTTTAAGAAAAAAGTTGCTGTAACATCCCAGGCATGTGTCTGACTTGAATATGTAATTTCAGTTTCGTGCTTTTAGGTTTAGAGCTAGACTGTTCACATAGACCATTTTGCAAGACTTGGTTATTTAGGCTCAGGGGAACTCAAAATGTGTATTTCCATTGAAAACTCAGATTAAAAAATTTTCACAATCGCAATACTTTTCCCTTACTATATATTCCATATATAGGTAAGTGAAAGTAAAAAATAGAGGCAGAGAAATTTATAGGCAAAAGAAAAGAAAACTTGTGCGGATCGTAAGATCGGGAAAAAACATGGAACAGGTGGGAAAGGACATGGGCACGAATTAACGGTAGGTTAGGATTTGAACAAGAGACTGAAGCATGGTCAGTGCTTAAGAGACTAAAGAAGGAAAAGGAACATATGCAGGATTGGACTAGTTGCTACAAGGATGCTGCATGTCCCCCACTCAACTTAAAATATACCTTGATGAAGGCCTAAAGGATGGATAAGGAAATTTGGGAAAATGGGTGTCAAGTTAAGAGAAACAAAGCTATACAATTTATTATTTCCTGATGACTAGGTATTAATTGCACAAGGTGAAGAGGATATTATCTACTTATTCAGAAAAATAGGTTTCATATAAGAATATACTATCAATTCTCGGTTTGTGCAATCCATTATTATGTTGTCAGAAGCTCTTTTTATGAAAATTCTGTCGAATTCCAGAATGCACATCTCGTTTTTGTAACTTTTTGGATTTGATCGATATTAGGGTCAATCATTATATTGTTGAGGGGTATTTTTTTATGAAAATACTCTCAGATTTCAGAATGTGTAATGGCGCATCACATTTTTGTAACATTTCGGATTTGATAAATATCAGCATCCATTATTATGTTGTGGGGGGCTCCTTTTATGAAAATACTGTCGGATTTCAGAGTGAGCTATTGCGCATCACATTTTTGTAACTTTTCGGATTTCATTGATATTAGGGTCGATTATTATGTTGTATATGGATCTTTTTATGAAAATATTGTTGCATTCCAGAATGCGCAATTGTGAATCATTTTTTGTAACTTTTCGGATTTGACTGATATTAGGGTCGAGAATTATGTTGTCGGTGGGTCTTTTTATGAAAATACTGTTGAATTCCATAATGCGAAATAGCACATCTCGTTTTAGTAACTTTTTGGACTGGATCAATATGAGGGTCCATTATTATGTTGTTAGGGGTTCTTTTTATGAAAATACTGTTGGATTTCAGAATGCGCAATTGTGCATCATGTTTTTGTAACATTTCTGATTTGATCGATATTAGGGTCCATTATTATGATGTTGGGTGGTATTTTTATGAAAATACTGTCGGATTTCAGAATGCCCAATTTCATATCACGTTTTTGTAACTTTTCGGATTTGAACAATATTAGGGTCCATTATTATGCTATCGGTGGGTCTTTTTATGAAAATACTCTCAGATTTCAGAATGTGTAATGGTGCATCACGTTATTGTAACTTTTCAGGTTTGATTGATATTAGTGTCCATTATTATGTTATTGGGTAGTATTTTTATGAAAATACTCGGATTTTAGAATGCGCAATTGCGAATTACGTTTTTGTAACTTTTCGGATTCGATTGATACTAGCGTCCATTTTCATGTTGTCGGAGGCTCTTTTTATGAAAATATTGTCGGATTTCAGAATGAATCAGAACAGGTTATCATGGGAATCGTCAATCAGTAAAAATTTATTGAATAGATTACTCGAACAAAATTTTATTCAGTAACGCCCAACCGTGGTATCACATAGGGAATATAATTCCTTTCAGTTGAAATGAATTTTTGGAGATCTGATAGGTTATCAAAGATCAAAAGTGTAAGAAAAATTTTTATTTCATATTTTTTTTTATTTATTTGAAAAATAATACATTCTGCCACATTGGAGGGCATTAATATTAGGGCTACATTAAACATTCACACAATATATACATACAAATGATAACATAGGCAGAAAAAAAAAGAAAAAAAAAAAAAAAAAAACAAGAGGAAAGAAAAAAATAGAGAAAAGCTAAATGAAATTAAAATATATAAAACACATTCATACCTATATACAATATTTACATTCGCCCAGAGGATTCCGAGTCATGCTTTGTCCCCCAGATGTGGAAGCCAAGGCAGGACCCCAGGAGATCCCAGTGCTTCTCTCCAAGCCGCGTCACTGGTATTGCAAGCCAGTGGAGGCTGATGGAGGGAGCAACAGACGCTCAGGACATGAGTGGAGAATCTGGCCATTGCCAGTACTCCAATATACATATTTACAAAAGATCGCGGGGCACTGCCGTTTTAACTTCCGGGGAGGATTATAGGGATGGCTGGAGCTAGATAGGGATTGTGCTACAGGATTGGAGTGAGTTTCTGGTGAAATTTGGAAAATTTGTCTGGGATTAGGTCAATAACAAATGGGATATGAAGGTCATTATGGAGGGTTTTGTTGGATACATAGAAGGGAGCATCGACTATTGTTCGGAGGACTTTAGACTGGAAGGATTGAATACGCTTAATGTTAGAAGGTTTTGTTGAGCCCCACAGCTCTAGTCCGTAGGTCCAGATAGGTTTCAGGATTGTCTTATAGATTAGTAGTTTGTTGTCGACTGAAAGTTGAGATTTTCTATTCATTAGTCTATATAGCTGTCCGAATCGTCTGTTTAGTCGTTGTCTTTTAAGTCTGGTATGTGGGTTCCACGTTAGTCTTTTATCTAGAAGAAAGCCAAGATACCGGACTGTGTCTGAGAGAGGAAGTGGTATGGATTTGAAGAGACTGGTGGACAGGACTTGCACCGAAGGGTAAAAGGGATGTGTTTGGATTTGGATTAATTTACTTTGATGCGCGACTTATTACACCAATGTTCAATAAGAGAAAGATGACTTTGTAGGTTTGAGGATGCTGTTTTAGGATCTAGATTGGAAGATAGGATAGCTGTGTCATCAGCGAATGTTGCCAGGATGGTTTCGGGGTGAGTAGGAATATCAGCGGTAAACAGAATGTAGAGGACGGGACCCAAGACGCTGCCTTGAGGAACTCCCGCTTCAATTGAATGGTAGTTGGAGAATTCTGTACCACAAAGAACTCGAAAGGAGTGGTCAGAGAGGTAGGATCGGAGTATTAGATATAAGGACTGGGGTAGGTGGGTTTTGAGCTTGAAGAGTAGTCTGGTGTGTCATACGCGGTCGAAATCTTGCTCAATGTCCAGGAATGCTCCCGTGCAATACTGTTTGCTTTCTAAGGCTGAGGATATGTTGTCAACAATTCGGAGTCCTTGTTGAACGGTGGAATGCTGGAAACGAAATCCGAATTGATGGGTAGGAAGGTTTTGTGATTCTATTATGAGTAGGATTCTTTTTAATAGGATTTTTTCAAATATTTTTGAAAGGATTGGGAATAGGCTGATTGGTCTATAGGATGATGTGTTATTGGAAGGTTTGGCTGGTTTCCGGAAAAGGACGATGGTGGAATGTTTCCATAAGAGAGGAAAATGGGTAGTTCTTAGGATGCAGTTGTATATATATGCGAGGAATATGATCGCTTTGGGTGCTATTTGATGAAGGATCTGTGGGGTTAGAAGGTCGTATCCAGGAGATTTGTGGGAAGATAATTTTTGTAAATGATTTTTGACCTCAGAAGGATGAACTGCTTTTGGTGGCAGGGAAAGTGGAATTGGTGAGGAGAGGAATTTTTCTACTTTTGTTGAATGGATGGAATGGGATTCAGGATGAGGAGTAAATGTGCAGGAAAGGTGTTTGGCGAATTCCTCAGCTTTGTCTTCATCAGACGCCGCCCAGAAGCCATCACCTTGACGGAGGGGATGGGAAATATTTTGGGAATTTAGAATTTTTTTAGTGATATTCCAGAGGGAATTGTCGTGAGCGGAGATGGAGGTAAGGTAAGAGTCAAAGGATTGGGATTTGAAGTTGGAGAATTCTTGCTTGACTTTTTTTGAGTAATAATTATAGGAACGGCGATCTGTGGGATGTCTGGTGCGTTGCCATAGCACTTTGGTACAGTGTTTGGTTTGGATTAACTCGAGGATGTGTTGAGGTAACTTATTTTTCTTAGGAATTATTGGGGAATGATTAGGGGAGGAAGCAGTCCAGACTGCTTGTTGAATGGTGGTGGCAAAGGAGTGAACAGCATTATCAAGGTCTTCTGGGGTATTCAGGGTTATTCTGAGGTCAAATTTGTTCTGAAAGGATTTGATGGAAGAGTTTCCAGTTGACTGGACCTCTGATAAAGGATGGTGGAGAGGGTTTAGCTAGTGATACTTAGAATATTAATGGACTGTGGTCTGAGGAAAGTTTATCGAGGCGTGCAATGGAATAGTTGAGGGAACCTAAACCACTGTGGATGAAGAAATCAAGGATATCGGGATTTCGGTTAGGATCAGTGGGCCAGTAGGTAGGTGAGGTCGGGGGAACTAGGTTAAAATGTTGGGAATTGAGTGCAGACAGCAGTGTTCGGCCGCGAGAATTTATTTCATATTTAATAATAAAGCTTTATGTTTAATTTTCCTTTTGTTTAATTAATCCGTTTTGCTAAATTAAATGATATTGCATGTGAAAAATGTTTTGATTTTATTTGTAAACCTAAAAAATATATAATTTTTAATTTTGTCAATCAAATATAATTTTTTAACTTTAAAAAATAAGCATATTTATAATATGCATTTATCAGAAAATTTTCTTTATCGATTATTGATAAGAAATGCACTACAGTATTTTTTGTTAGCCAGATATAAACCTTTTTTGTGTACTGTAATGTTATTCTCAGTACTGTACTCCAGGGTAAAGTATTTTTTTACTCTTTTCTGTTTATAGAGAGAGTGTATTTTAATGGATTATTCTAGACAGATTAATATTTTATAATAATTAATCAGAAAATACTTACATTCATTAGCAACTTTCATCATAAAACTTTCACTATTACATGCACTATCTGCAGCACATGTGGTATCAACCCTTCCAGGATTTATCTCATCTATCAACAGAATATGAAACTCAGTTACAAATATAATTTTATAAAAAAAGATTCATGATTTATACACAATACCTTCCATATCTTTATCAATGCGTACAAGAAAATCATCTTTAAAGAACATATAACCAATGATGGAAAACATGTAAACCAAAATCAATGCAAGAACAGCTGTTAAAATGATAGATCTACCATTCCTAGTTACTGACTTAATCACATTTAACAATGTTTCTTCTCGATACACAACATCAAAAAGCTGTAACAAAATATAAGATAATTATTCAATCTTAAAATACTAAAAGAGGTAATAAAATAAATAAATGAAAAAAAAAATTCAACTATATTTTGGTAACATTTCAAGAACATTTTTATGTTTTATTGTTCACATATTTATACCCTACAGTGAAAAAAATGGGTTTATAGATAATTCTTTTGAAAAAAAAATTTAAACATGAAATGACTAACAATTAGAATAAACTTAATCTAGTGATTTATTATAACTGACTAAGTACAACGAAACTAAACATTAAATTGTACTTACAACTGCTGAAAATTATACATCACTTCATTGAATACTAAATAAATGGTGGATTACAACTTATAGAAATTTACAACTTTCATAGTTGTAATAATATACTAATTGAGTATGATCAAAATGAAGAGAGGTAGGGTAGCAATAAAGTGAAAGTTGTTTGGTTTTTCCATATTGGTAGGTAGCGAGTTTTGTTTTAATGGTGCGCATACAAAAAAATGACTGTTTTTCAACCAAGTATTTGTATTATTATTTCTTTGATATAAAATACAATTAATACTCAAGGTATAGTCCATTGTTATCTACCATCATTAGCCATCTGCTAGCCAATTGCTCGATCCCATGCTGATACCATTCTCTGGGATGGCTGTCAAAGAACTCTTAGGCTGCAATTTCAACTTCCGAGAAATAATCAAATTTTTCCCTTGAAGAAAACAGGCCATGGATCTAAATAAGTAGTAATCCGATGGTGCGAGATCTGGACTATATGGTGGATGAGGTAGGAGATCGAACCCATCAAGTTCTTTAAACTTTTCCTTGGTTCGACGGGAAGTGTGAGGACGAGCATTATCTTGTTGGTATAAAATTCATTTTTGGTTCATCAAATCAGGATAATGCTCTGACAAGTTTGCGTACTATCTTACCAGTTGTTTGTAGTAGAGTTCAGAATTGATAGAGCACCCATCAGGAACAAATTTGTGATGAATAACACCTTCAAATTCAAAACAAGGCAAAGCATGGAGTTAAGGCAACTTTCAAAATTTTAATTAAGGCAAGGCAAATAACTCTCATGAGTTCTTAATAGGCAACATTCTACTTATTTACTTCTACCTTTTGTCATCGGCCTGCTTCTTGGATGTGTCAGGAAATTAAGGAACAGCAGAAGAGACGAGACATGACACTGCCCGTAGATGCTTTAGACGGAATAGGCTTGGAGATGATTATCAAACATTCAGAGTGCTTTGTAACATAACACAGACAAGGGATCTGACGAGCGAAAGCTACCTACTTTCATGAAGCCCTTTTCTCAGCAGCTCTTGATATCAAATCAAAATGGCTTCTGCTTCATAAACTTTCCCTCTGTGAACCTTCCAGATCCCCTTCCTCAGTTTTTCCAATATCACCTAATGATCTAAAATCCCACTTTATATCTGTTGCAACCTCTTCTTTACTCTTTCTTCTACTTCTTCTTCTCTCTTTCCGGCTTTTCTCCAGAGGTAACTGTTGGAGACTAATGCCACATGTGTAGTAGAAGGGGGGTTATTAACAATCACTATCACCAATCAATATTGTAAATCTACCTGGCAACACTGGTTTTTGTTTGTAACCTTCTTAATAACTTTTTCATCTGTAAATTAATGCCAGTATGCGTCGTGTTATAATCGATTTATTTCAGAAGTAAATTTTCGTTTTGTTTACATTGTGTTTCTTTTTCATCATCACTAAATTCCCAGAACTCTAACAGGTTATGGGCCCAGTTAATGCAAACAAAAAAAGTTATTAACCAACTTTAGTGTAAAAAGTGAACTTGTTAAGGAAGTTTGTTTTACTTACCTTTTTTTTTCTCTCCAAGTAATCAAGCAAGGACGTTTATTTTAATTTATTTACAATGTCTACCACAAGTACAGGTGTTCCTTTAGGTTTTGAAAAATTAGAAGGTAGCAGTAACTACATCGACTGGAAATTCGCGATGGAAATTCACCTAATCAATTGTGATTTGTGGGATCATGTACAAAGAGGCAACTGATGAAAAGTTGGGCCACAAGGCCATGACAGCAATAGTTTCTGGTGTCAAATCGCACATTTATGCTGATATTTGTGAGTTGAAAACTGGTAGAGAGGTATGGAAGAGGCTTGAAGAAATATGTGAACCTAAAGGTTTTTCACGTGTAGCCTCTCTTATTGAGCAATTAGTAAATATACGATACACAGATTGTAAGGATATGGCAGAGTACGTAAATAAGAAGGTGAAGTTGGCTCAACAGCTAAAATCAATTGACCATGAAATCAAGGATGGTGTCCTTGCTGCATTGATTTTTTTAAGTTTGCCAGACCATTTCAAACCTCTTACTATGGCCCTTGAAAATTGTGGGGCCACTCTCACATCTGATTTAGTTAAGAAGAGGCTTTTGGCAGAAGCCAATAAGTACGAATCTCCGAGTGAAACTGCCTTGTTTTCAAAGCCTAGCAGGGAAAGATTGGCTCACATCAAGTGTTATAGTTGTAGGCTGTTTGGGCACTTTGCCAATAAGTGTCCTAAACCTTCGAGAAGGAACCAGAATACGGATAGGAGTAGGGAACCCTCCATCGACCAGGGTCTTGTTCTGGAAAATTCAATTTTAGCGACCGGACCTCTTGATTCCAACGAGTGGTACATCAATTCAGGAGCAACGATCCATGTAACAGGGAGAAAGGATTGGTTGACCAATATAGAGAACAAAATATAAAATCTATGATTACTACGGCTTCAGATGAAAAATTGCCTATTACTGTAGTAGGGGACACACAGGTTTTACTCGAAGTTAGCGGGAAAGCTAAGATGAATCCCATCAGAAATATGAGCTATGTACCCGGTCTTAGATATAACCTGATTTTATGTGTCGAACTTGGTCGGAAAGGTCTGCAGACAACGTTTGAGAATGAGGAGAGGTGTGAGATTATTAACCCAGACACTGGTGATGTCATTGCTGTAGCGGATTCTTCTTTTCAGCTCCTATATTAATAACCTAAATGATTCAATCCTCCATTGTTCCCACCACCTTTATGACGACGATTCTCAAATCTACCTATCCTTCTTTTGAGTTATTGGTAGCATTTGTCAAAATTCAAGAAGATTTAGATCAAATCAGTGCCTGGGCAAACTTAAACGGTTTAAGGTAAAATGCTTCTAAAACTCAGGCCATCGTCATTGGTTCCAAGCCCCTTCTTAGATACCACACCAACGTTCCTTTACTCTACCTAAATAAGCACCCCATCACCTTCTACCCTTTTGTTAAAAATTTAGGTTTTTTCATAGATTAAACCATCTCCTGGAATCACCATATCTCTCATATCTCCCATCGTGCAATTTCTACCCTCAAACTATTCCATCGCTTCCGCCATCTCCTACCCCAAAATACCCATAAACTCCTAGCTTCCTCTCTCATCTTTCCCCACTTTGAATACAGCTCTGTAGAATATGATGGCCTCTCCGTGGAGCTCCATGATAGACTGAAAAGAATTATGAATAGCTTCGGAAGATTTGTAATTGGGACCCTGAGACACTCCCATGTCTCCCACCACTACACTGAGTTAGGGGGGCTCTTCCCTTCCTTAAAAAGACAATATTTCTTAGGCACATTCCTTTATCAAATCATTAACAATCATCGTCCTTCTTATGCCTACAATCTTCTCCAATTTAAGTCCTCAATCCATTCCCTCACCACAAGATCTCGACCTTCTGACCTATACATCCCTTTTCATAGATCTGCCTCATTCCAAAACTCCTTTGTATCCCACTCTGTCAATTTCTGGAATTACCTCCTGATCAAAATTTGGCATGCCCCCTCCGTATCCACATTCAAAAACCTATTCCAAAAACAGTCAGATACTTACTAACTATTAACATTATATATTTATTGCGTAGCAATCATATAATCATACAATAATACTGTTTGTTAGGGATAGTACATGTATTTCCTACTTTTGACGCCACTCAATACGACCATTTTTTTTTTTATTCAATTATAACTAACTTTTATTTTTTATATATACAAGTAAAGTTTTTTTATGAAAAGAACTTATTCTATTTTGTCTCTTTTTTGTTCTTCATTTCTTCTACATAGTTTTATCTGTTTTGTATATAGCTTGTTCGCTTAAGGTTTTCTTTTTAGTTTATTTTTTAAAATTTTATTTATTGTTTCAAACTTTTAGGCCAGTAGTAGTTTTTTCATTTTGTACAATTTTGTTATTCTAAAGGGACTTTGTCCCAGAATAAAGTTTTTTTTTTATCTATCTATCTATTTATGCAGTGGATTGTATTTTAATGAATTGGTAGGTTATATGAATTGTGTAAAAACAGCTTACCATTTTTATGTTGGTACTGACATCTATACCTGAGGGCACCCTCAGAGCATCTGTTGTCTCTGGCTCTCAGTGATGGAATGGGGTGAGTGTACCGTGAGGTGGTAAGGATTAAATTTTATCTTTTAGATCTTCTGATCTGCCCCCACCACTTGCCGTAAGGAGAGAGTTCGGAACTATCTTTGCACAAACATATGGATTTTTTTCAAATTGCCTCCTTCCAGCAATCGGAAAAGCAGTTTGACCACGATCTAGCCATTGCTCATGGGTATTCGGATTTCACAAATAAACCCACTTTTCATCACAGGTGACAATCTTTTGGTAAAATCTTATATAAGAAGGGTTTTTCAATACATTTTCACAAATTTCTAACGCTGATTGCTGAAAAGCAAATTAGTGGAGGACCAATCTACTGCTCTTTTTCACCTTCTCTGTGGAGAATAACTGGTGACTAACAGTATCTTTCAACACACCACACTCCCTGGCAGGTTCGCGAGTACTTGTCGACGGATTTGAATCAACAACTTCCTGCAGAACCTCATCAATATCCATTAATGGTTGCCTGGAGCCTTTCTTCCTTTCCAACGTCGTATCTCCACTGCTGAATTAAAAATTCAGACCAATGCGCTGGTCATGGACACCTTTTCCTTCATATTTAATAATTTCACGAGTTGTTTCAGTGGTTGTGAAATTTTTTTTTCCAGTAATGTATTAAACTCGAATGGGTTTATGATAAACTACCGCAAAACTACATGAAAATAATTATAGGTGACGCGAACGCAAAGGTAGGAAGGGAAGAAGTTTATATTCCGACGATTGGTAAAGAAAGTTTGCACGAATATAGTAATGATAATGGGATCCGTCTGATAAACTTTGCCATCTCGAAAAACCTGATAATTAAAAGTACGACGTTTAAACATAAGGATATTCATAAATATACTTGGACATCACCGGATTCGCAAACACGAAATCAAATCGATCATCTCTTGATACAACACAGCTGGCAAAGCAGTATAATTAATGTACGGTCTTATCGCGGAGCAGAATGTGGGTCGGATCATGAATTAGTAATCGCGAAACTTCGACAAAAACTTAATATAAAAAAGAGAAAAGAAAACCGTTTCGATTTTGAGAATTTTAATTTGGAAAAATTAAAAAATCCATCAATTAGAAACCAATTCGAGCTAGATGTTAAGAATAGGTTTGAAGCTTTAGAGCTTCCTGATGAGGACCACGAGGATATTGACAAGTTATGGGTAGAAATCAGAGATAATATTAAAGCGGTCGGTAACTCGTGTCTAGGAAAAAAGGAAAATAAGAATAACAAACCGTGGTTTGATGAAGATTGCTTAAACATGTGCGAAAAACGAAAAGTCGCTAAATTAAAAGCTCTAAATAATCCTAGCGAAGACAATCTGGAATACTTCCAACCTCAAAGAATGAAACGACAAAATTGCTTAAAAATAAAAAAAGGGAGTATCTTAAAAATAAAATAATTGAAATAGAAACTAATAGAATCGAAAATAACGTAAGAGACATGTACAAAGGTATAAACAGATCACGTAAATATGTAGGGCCCGTAACGTCTGGAATTAGGGATGATAATAACAATATTCTGACCGATTCGGTTGACATATTGAATAAGCTTAAGGACCACTTTGACAATATTTTAAATACGGGAAATTATGATCTGTGTTCTCCTTCTGAGTACCAGAGTGCTGAACCGTTAATAGAAGAACCAAGTAAAGAGGAAGTTGAAGTAGCTATCGGAAAATTAAAATCATATAAAGCAGCGGGAATCGATAATATTCCTACTGAACTAATTAAGGCATGCGGGGAAGCTGGAGTTTCTAAAATACATCGGTTGGTTAAAAAGATCTGGGTGAACGAGAAATTACCTGAAGAATGGAAAGAATCTATTCTTATTCCGATTCACAAAAAGGGTCCGAGGACGGATTGTAATAACTATCGAGGAATTTCACTCCTTCCGGTATGTTATAAAATATTCACTTTAATCTTAACCAGTCGAATCACCGAATACGCCGAGGAAATTATCGGAGACTACCAATGCGGATTTAGACGGAATCATTCGACTATTGATCAAATATTTTCTTTACGACAAATATTAGAGAAAAAATTGGAGTATAACGGTATTGTTTACCAGCTGTATATAGATTTTAAAAAGGCTTACGACTCTATTGACCGCCTAAAACTGTATAATATTCTAATCGAGCAGGGGATTCCAAAAAAACTAGTAAATCTAGTCAGGATGTGCATGATGGGGACACTCAATAAAGTTAGAATCGGTAATAATTTGTCCGAAAAATTTGAGGTTCGTTCGGGCTTAAAACAGGGGGATTCTCTTTTGCCTGTCCTGTTCAATTTGGCATTAGAACATGCCATTAGGGAGGTAATGCGAACCGAGAAAGGGTTGGATCTGGGCGGGACAACATCCGTGCTGGGCTATGCTGATGATCTGGTACTGTTAAGCGAAGACGTTGAAACTATAAAACTAAATACGACAACGTTAATGAAAGCCGGTAAAGAACTAGGACTCGAAATAAACGTGGATAAAACAAAATATATGGTTAGCTGCAAAAATGGCGATACTACTGGTGATATCGATATAGATGGTAATATGTTTGAACAGGTAGATAAATTTAGGTACCTAGGTTCTACGATAACTAGAAAAAATCGAAATTGAAGAAGAGATTAAGGTTAGACTGAAGGCGGGAAATGCTTGTTATTTTTCTGTGACAAAACTACTTAGTTCGCGCCTCTTGTCCCGAAACTTAAAAATTAGAATCTATAAAACAATTATCTTGCCTACAGTTCTTTATGGATGCGAAACTTGGCCGCTTACATTAAGGGATGAGCAGCGTCTTAAGGTTTTTTAAAATAAAGTATTGCGTAGAATATTCAGACCGAAGAAGGATGAGTTAACCAGAGAGTTCAGACGGTTACACAACGCCGAATAGCGTGAGCTGTATCCGGGTAATATAATTGAGGTAATTTTGTCGCGGCGAATCAAATGGGCTTGTAAAGTTGTTGGGCTTAGTAACGAGAGAATTCCTAAAAGGTTAATATTTGCTGTGCCGAATGGTAAGCGTCCGAGGAGTAGACCGAAGCGAAGGTGGGAAGATTGCATTAAAGCCGATCTGAAGGGACTGGGTTTGGACGGCGAACTGTGGAGGGAGGTGTGTAACAAGCGATTGGTAGTGTCGGCATCGAACCTTCGGGTTCGCTAAGCCTTATTATTATAGTAATGTATTAAAACTATAAGAATTTTATAGGGTATTGTCATGTTTCTTCTTTGAAACAAATAACTAAACCGAGGATTTTTTGAAGAAGTCGAATGGGATTAAACAAGCTTAGAGAATACTCTAAAGGGATTATTAAGTATTGATGAGTATTAAATAGGATTAAAATATTTACAGTCCTTTGAAATCTTGAATTTGATAAAACGGTCATTCTTTTTTTATACACCCTATTATTATTGAATATGTAACTATAGATATATTAGTATAGTTGGTTTTTGTTAATATAAACAAATTTAATTTAACATCAATACTAAAGATATACTACACTTATTTACCAATAATAACTGGAGGGCATGAATATGAGAATAATTAAGTCTCGAAACTTCACCAGAATAGATATTAATAAATATATACACACACATAAACACATAGGATATCTCCAGACTTATGCAAGCGAATATATACACAGAGGGAGTGCTTTTAATACCATTCAGAGTAAAATCAGTCAAATAAACGTTGGTTTCTAATAAAAATACAAACATTGAAAGATATTATGAATATGTGACTAATTTTCTATAGTCTGTTATTATTTACATTTTCAACAGCCTACTATAGTGTACAGTGATCTAAATTTGTTAAAATTTTCAGTTGGTTTTACAGTCTAATATCTTTTTACCTTTTGGTATAGATATTGATGCCCTCTGGTTAGATATGCCTATCTGGCACTCAGCAATTAAAAAATGCCTATTATACTTAACCTCAGGCTATTTTTTATTTCCATTAGAATAACCACAAATGTAATCAATATTGGCAAATTCTTCGGTTCAAAACAACATTTCACCAACTTTTATAGAAAATGTAATGCCTAACTAACAGAAGATAAAACAATATCCACTTAAAATACTAAATTGTAGACAAATTCGTATCTACAAAAAACACTTCATGTACTAAAATCAACTTTCAATGATTGCATTTCTGTCAAAAAGCATTTAAGGATATATGTTTATTTGATATTTTTGATCTGAATGGTATCAGCAACACATTCTAAAAGTACGGACCTTCAGTCATTACCTGTGTGTAAGTGCATTTGTGTGTATATAGATATATCTATTTATTTATATTACAAGTTTTATACCATTTTTGTTAGATCAATAAATAACTTACCAAGACACTATAAAAAAAAGGATGCATACAAAGACCCAAAATACAAAAAGAAACATAAGATAAATGATAGAGAATTTCAGCATCTTCCACAATCTGTTTCACACTTTTTGAAAATGTACCTTGATTTCCCATTATACTAATTAGATGTATTCCTTTTAACAAAACCTGCAAAGAAATTATTATTTAATTGTATGAATCCAAATTATGATAGTAAACTTATATAGATACAACAACACAATAGACATACAACAATACACTTTCCTTTCAGATAAATGACATCCATAAAATGTCCAGTTTCTGAAGATTTTATTTTATTTATTACAGCATAAACATTTTGCTTTATGAGAAAACTTTGGCTATTAGTCACACAATTTTCCTATGATTGTTAAGATATTATTGAAACAAATTTAAAATGGATTAAATAAAAAAATAAAATTATTTTATTTAGTGTTCAATCAAAGATTGAGGACTTAGTATTTGTAAGTAATAAACATTTATCATGTTCAATGCAAGTTAGGAAGGAACAAATAGTTTTACAATTCTGACAAAGTTTGACCTGTGTTGGAAGGATTCTGATATAGTTTTGGAGAATAAATAATGAACCTAATTTCAAAAGTATTATACTTGCTTTACAGATTTCTAAATAGTGGTTTTAAGTTTTTAATTTATTTGATGGTACACAGTCAAGCAAATAAATAACAGCAACTGGCCTTCAACAAGATATAAATTAAAAAAATACTTTATGATGGATGAGGAAGACCATCATGCATTTGTGTACCGTCAAATATATAAGAAACTCAAACCTTTTATTTGTAATCTGATGACCAAGTATAATAGTGCATAAATTAATAGATTTGAAATTAATTTTTAAATCCTAAATATCAGTGATAAGTTGTAACCATAAGAGCCAAATAATATAATTTTATTTATAGCCAAGCTGAAAAAACAAAAACTGCCTGAATACGCTTAATATAAAAAGTGATCAGGTATTGAAAAGATTGTGTTTGTTACTAATATTTCTTAATATCTTTAGAATCAAATAAACAGTCAATTAGCACACAAATATGCATTGAAAAACAAAAATACATACTCTTACACACATATACCCCCAAAACCAACATAGATGGGAGCACACACAAACACATTCAGACATGAAAACAGAATTTACCAATAGGTTAGACCATAGGTGGGGAACGTGCAGCCTCCAAGACTATGTGCTGCCACACGAGAGTGTACATGAATTTTTTGTGGTATTAATTAATATTTAATTATATATATTTTAGAAATATGAAAATCAATGAATAAACGAATATAATTAAATTTATTATCACTCCCTAACCTAAACCCAACTTACTTTATCATTGTATAATATAAATATGGCCTCTAAAGATAAAAAGTTCCCTTGAATTGAAAGAGTGGAAAACCATCTTTGAAGATCATATGCAAGGAGTTGTTGACACACTAAAGTCAGTTGTAGACTATTCTAGATAGATAGATATATAATTTTTTTTCTTTCCAAAGTAAATTTTTGAAAGGACCATACATGGGTATGTACGTTCCATAATTGAGTATAATACATGTCCCAAATACTTAAAGAATAAACAACATTTTTAATTACACAAAGAAAAATGAAATAAATGAAATGGAACAAACAAATAAAAATTCAATATCTAGAATTGAAAACTATAGTATATTCCTGAGTTCAGTGCTTAAATATGGTACCATAGACAGTGACCAAAATAATCTTCTTAATCTTTTTAAGGTCTGTTTTTCAAAGTCCAAACTATACATAAGTTTTATAAAGTCAAGCCTTAATTTATTGTACAAGTCAAATCCAGTTATTGGCTACTTTTTCCTTTCAAAAGTGATTATACCATGCTGAAAAGCATCTAAGAAAAAATTGATTGGAATTACAGTTTTGAGTTCTTCTGGTCAATCTTGGCGCCAGCATATTCAGTAATATGATCCAAAGAAGTAACTTAAAAGAATTCCATCTTTGTCTTATGCATGGAAAACTTGGACAGAAAGACTGTTTTTTCATATTTTGAATATTTTTAGTTGTTGCACTAAACAGGCTTTTGCAACGTTGCTAATGCTGGTATACAACAAATTAAATCAAGTTTACCCAAATTATTTTTATAGAATTATCTGTTAACTGAAGCCAATAGTTCAATCTTAAATCTCAAACTCAATAATTAAATCAACACAAAATTTAGCCATGAAATCACCACACTATGTAACTTTCAATCGATTTTTAAATAAATTTGTCAAAATAAGCATTTATCATTTTTTTAAATTATGTAAGTTACCGTAAGAGTGCCCAATAGCCAGAGAGTAGGTTCAGGTCCAGCAGAAAATATCATTCTTAAAATAGTTGATGCAACAAGAGTTCTGATACCAGATTCTCTAGGAAGAGTAATTACTATAGCAGCTGATATAAGCATTACAGCCCAGATTAACCCAGATAAGTGAGGACCAAGTTCTAAAAATTACTGACATTAGTTGAAAAGTAATTAAAATAGTTATAAAATATTTCATTTTTTATATTCAAAATTAATCTAATTATATGATAAATTTTTCTTACTAGGAACACTATCTGAAAATGGATAAAAGAACGCCACTATTAGATTAATAAGGACTGCACAGTTGAAAAGAACATTGCTCCAAAGAGACATGTAGCTGCTGACCCAGAAAAGAGCTGGTTGGCCTGAAAATAAAGAACCAAATATTAAAAAAAGTTCTAAAATAATAAATTCCTTTCAATACTCTTCAGCAACATTCTAGGATTATTATTGAAACAAGTAACATATAATGAATGATCTTTAAATGTAATATTTCGAAAACAAAATGGCAAATATGTAAGAAAATGATTGAAATGAAAAGCAATATTTTCTTTATTGTTAAAATCAAAAGTAATGTGTTGAAGAGAAGTTGGTTGAAGAGTTCAGTCAAAAATAAAAACTGACTGAACACCCCAACCAACTTCTCTTCAATTATTCACTACTGTCAACCATTAATCTACTACTAAGGTAATATAGCATTGAATCTCACACTTTGTAATTGATCCAAACAGTTAACCCTTTGACAACGGTATACTACTGTGAAGCAATATATGTAGAAATGAGTCCTGCTGATGGCATACTGCTGAAGCAGCTCAACCTTAAAAAATATAGTGGCGTTATAGAGAACTTACTGTATCTTTTCTAGTAGCTGGACACACAATGATTTCAGTTAATAAAGCCCTGATTAAGGCCCAAAACTTCGGCTGAAACGACACAAAGAAAATAAAGTTTTTTGTGTACTTTCACTTTTGACTACACTCCTCAACCAACTTCAACTAACATGTATGTTTGAGTTTATATGTGACTTTTTTAATGTAAACTATCCAGCACACTAACAATACAGAATGACATTAAAAAAACAAAAAGAAGAAACAAATAATTCATCTAAATTTGTTTAGTCTCAGATGAGTTCTGCAGGAAGTCCATCAGCACTCAGAGCCTTGTTACATTGCAATTGGTTGATGACATCGAGGATTTTATCTTCAAATGGTGGCTCTTCATCAGTTTCATTCTTCTTGTGATCCTCCTCTTCTCTCCTTAATTCCTCACAGAATTCCAAAAGTCCCTCATTGAGTAGATCATCAAAGTGACGCATCCACTGGGACAGGGCTCTCTGCTTGTCAGGAAGTAGGTACCCCTCATTGTAGTTGCAGATGTAAGAGGCATTAGAGCAGGGTTACTTATATATTCCACCCTCCCATGCCACTATGGCAATACGGGTGTTTGCAATAGTGTGTTATTAGACATGGATGCTTAATAACACACTACTACCAGTTAACATGAGAGGATATGTATACAGCTAGCAGTTCTTCTGTTCTATTTTATTCCTTCTTGTTTATCGATTTCGGACTAGTTTCCAAAATCTGGAGGTATTAGGAGTATTGGAATTAGAGCAGGGTTTTCGGCTTCTGTTTATTTTTCAATAAAATCCTCAGAATTCCTTACCCCCAAAATATTTTTGTTTTCTCCAGCTCCTCTTGTTCCCAAGGCCTCTTCCTTATGTGATGCAAACGTTTCTCTTTGCATCTCCTCAATCAATATTTTTCAACGGTTCTCCTTGTGTGTTCTCCTCTATTAACCAAGGCTTTGTACGCTTAGTCCTGGTATCAGAATCTTTCAGTTTGTCCAGGTTAAACCTCTTCCCTCTTTGTAGCCAAAGCTCTGTTTCTATTTTGGCTGTCAGGTGGGGAACGCTGAGATAGTGGCCAGAATCCAAGATAGGTCTGGATCTATCTCTGGCTCCCACTAGAAAATGGTCAATTTGGTTAGTCAATGGTCAATTTTCTAGTCAGACGATGTCCAAGTTCTCTTATGTACCCTCTTGTGCGGTAAGAGAGTCCCTCCAATAACCATTCCCTTGGATTGAAGTTGACAAGGCATTGAAAAATCCATTAAACATCTGTAAATAATTGTAGAGTAAAATGTTTTGAAACCATTTTACAGCTAAGCCTAATCTCTGATATACTTACTCAAACATCTAACCATACCTCTTCCAATCTAGTTTATCAGCCATACCTAGAATTATTTTATACATGCTTGCACTCTCCTAGTATTATATATTGTAATTACCTCGTAATTTTTTCTGCCACTTCATTTCACTAAACATATCATCAGTTCTCTCAAAGAAATCAGATACTTTGGATCCTTGGTCATCTCTCTCTGCTGTATGCAAAACTTTGACTTTCGTTTCATGGGTTATATATTCACATATTTCAGGAATAGGAAAAACTATCTGCTCAAGTGTTCTATCCTGCCTAACAATCTAAAAAGGAATGTTAAATATGAAAAATAACAGTCAACATTTAAAGTTAATTTTATATTAACTATAAGGCTTTAGTTCTTGAAGAACCAAGGACTGCTTAATGAATCCTGTCTATTTATTCAAACCAATTGCCATCTAAACCTTATCATATTTAGCTCAGGGTTATCTAAACATTTAAAATGTTCAGCTTCATTATGTATATTACTTATGGTGTTTCTTAATTGATTGATAGATAAATCATCTAATTATTATTTTGAATGATCTATTTACATTTTAAGTTAAATCAAAATAAACTATTGTGTGTCAGATTGGTGTGACATGTGGGCCAAAGTTTGGAGACTCCTATTCAACTCGAAGATTGACCCACTACCTTTCAGACACCCTCTTTTCTCAAGATTGTAATCAAGTTATTTTTTTAAATGTATCAGGTAAAATTTAAATGGAAATATTTAGGACTTTATAATATTTATACTAACATATCATGCCCACTTGATTAAAAAATATATTGAATAGTGGTTGATGATGATAAACATATTCTGATCCAGAGCTAATCAAGATAAAATGTTTTATTTATTTTGCTTACTTTTTGCCAGATGATATAGGACTATGGTAACAATGGAACATCAACAACTATAGTTTTGATAGCTTACATTATTGGTCCAAAATGTAAATAAAATAAATTGAAATTTTAATTTGCATACTATATTGTACATCTTTAATGATCCTTAATCAAAAAATCCTTTGAATTTATTTAAGTAAAAATACACTTACTTCAATTTGTGCAGTATGAGATGCATAATATTCTAATGCTTGATTAATTTTAGGATCTGAATTAAAATCCGATGGTTTTAACAAAGCAGCCAAATCTTTATTATGTTGAGCTAACTGATGGCAAAGTATGTAGATATTATGTCCAACCTGAAAAAAAGTTTTTTTTACATAAAATGTTAGTATGGAAAAGAAACATTAAAATAAAAATTATTTCTAATTTAAACAGAAGAAAAAGATAAAACAGTGGAAGAAAAATCTAAAGGCAGCCAATAACATTCAATCCATGCCAAATGGAATGTGGAACAACCGTTAGTGTTATCTTGAATAAAAAAATCAGTGAGAATTTTTCATAGTAAGGCAGAGCAGCTGGTATTCCATTAAACTAAACTCCATCAAGCCAAAATCACACAAACCTTCCATGAATATGGAAAACTAAATAAGTTTTTCACCGGGTTTTTAGGCTTTGTAATAATAATAACTTTAAATGTACCAGAAAGCTGTGCTGTTAAATTGTGTTGAAAGACAAGGATTGTGAGGACCTTTCTCAACCTTCTAGTGTGCGCCTTCATTTGTAATATCAGCAGGTACATGGTGTATAGAGTGTGCCATGCCTTTTTGGAAGAGATTAATGTGTTTTTTTTTTCTGTTGTTTAAATTCTAAATTCAGTATTTTGTACATTAATAAAATTTCAAATTGTATTCATTTATGAAGAGAAGAATGGTTGGGATGATCAGTCAGAAATAATAAGGCAAAAATAAATAATAATATTTATTTTGACATTTGCCGACGTTTCAACCTGAAGTTCAGGCCTTCATCAGGGCTAAGAAAAGAACCAGATACCAAGCTATGAGAAAACATATATAATGTAGGTAAAAAAAAAAAAAATTAAAGTAAAATGAAGTGGGTAGAAAAATGAAAATAGTAAAAACTAAGAGGTAAATAATAATAACAATTACAAAGTGTAGAATGATGAAGTAAACATAATCGAAAAAGGTGACATAAGTATTAAAATGGTAATCTTAGAATACAATTTTTTTTTTACCTACATTATTTATGTTTTCTCATACCTTGTTATCTGGTTCTTTTCTTAGCCCTGATGAAGGCCTGAACTTCATCGGCAAATGTCAAAATAAATATTATTATTTATTTTTGCCTTCTTATCTCTGACTGATCACCCCAACCATTCTTCTCTTCATTATTCACGACAGTCAACCATTAACCAACAATTATGTATTTATTTATATTAAATTATTGTAACTTTTTTGTTCTTTTCTATTTAATTTTATGAATGGGTAACAAATATATTTATTTTTTTATATTCAATATATGGCAGGATATATTCAATAAAAGAAAAAAATATGAAATTTTATGTATCCTATGCATATAGTCTCCTCCAATTCAAGTCTTCCAATCACTCCCTCTCCACAAGATCTCGTCCTGACCTTCCTGACCCCTCACCACAAGTTCGCCTAATTTCAACACTCCTTTATTGTCTATTCCACAACATTTTGGAGTTCCATCCCGCTTAAAATCCGCCATGCACCATACTTATCCACCATTAAAACCCTCATATTCCAATTCCTCTCCACAATTCAATCAGACGCTGGATAATTATTTATTATGTAACAACGGTCTAATTTTTTTTATACATTATTTTTTTTTCTCTTTCTGTTATGAATATGGAAAAGATTTCGTATCACTTTTCACAAAGCAGTGTGAGTAGGTTTAGTTTGTTTTTATTTTTAATCTTTCTATTCCAAAGATTCTATCTCTTTAAGATGTTGAGATGTATTTCATTTTTTACTAATCTTGGACATACTCTCTCTCTCTCTCTCTCTCTCTCTCTCTATATATATATATATATATATATATATATATATATATATATATATATTATATAAAAGATAAAGACCGGGGACTGACGATATCAGCCTTAATACCATCCTGGAATGTAAACAACATGCTGAATGTATATAAGAAAAGAAGGATTATTTTATGAATAAAGCAGTATTGATTTATTTTATTGTTTAAATTCACCGACGTGTAACTGGTGCCGAAACCCGGGACAACGGCAGGAGACCATAATTGCTGAATTATTTTTTTTATTTGTTTTCATTTTTCCTTTCTTTTAAGTCTTAAGTAAAACTGAGATGGCGACAGACGGTATAATCCGACCTGGAGTGTTGAGCACACCGGAAATTCCTCAAACTCAGGAAATTCCTAAGATTCAAGATATCCCTCCCCTACCAAAGGACACATTGGTGGAAGCGCATGCTAACGCATTAGAATAGATGAAAATAAGAGCAGCAACCAGGCAGGATTCAAAGAGGGTGATCGCGGACTTGGAATACTTCGGTGGTGAGGTAGGAGAACTCAACCATTTCTTAAAAGATGGAGACCGCCTCATGTCTAGAATCGAGGTGAAAATGGCGGAGGACCTTGTGAATCTAGGGGAAGCAGAAGCGCTGAAGGCGGCTCATGTATGTAGGGTGAGAGGAAACATCCTGAACCAAATTCAAGCGGGCGAGGAGACACCATGGCCGGTGATCAAGGAGAGACTGAAGAAGGCTTTCGGAGGAGATGGACACCGGAAAAAGATATCTTCCAAATGTTTAGGGAACGCCGGTCCCAACAACAGACAAGGGGACAGTACGCCAGGGTACTAGTGGCGAAATACAATCGCATAACTGAGAAAATGTGCAAGAAATGAGTGAGGGAGAGATCGAAGCCAGGATGGAGTTCCTTTCGACGATACTTAAGGTCCAATTAGCAAAAGAAACTGGGAAAAGGGATAGACTGCCCAGAGAGCGATCGTTCCTCGAATGTGTTCAAGAAATGATTGATTTAAGTGCAAGAGAGGAAGAGACTCGGATGGATTTGGAAGAACCAGGGTGGATCCGAATAAATGATAGACGACCCAGGACCATTTCGATAGGTTCTAGAAAGAGAGAAACAAGACAGTCGAATGGAGAAAGGGCCACAACAGGCGAAAGAAGATCGGGACAGCCTAGACCTAGGAATGAACCCTGGAGGGAGGATAGAAAATGTTATGGGTATGGAAAGCCAGGAAACTTAGTAGCACAATGTCCTCGCACTAGATGTTTGTGCGGGACCGAAGATCATATTGCGAGGCAATGCCCATATATGTTCCGTAGGAGAGAGAGACCTCATCATTTTTCATTCGATCAACATGGCCTGCCCAACGAAGCCTTTCAATCCTTATGAATCTGAAGACATTTGTATTATTATACATTATTTCTATTTTAGAATTAGTTCTTTGTTACCAAACGTTATCGCTGAACACTGGCCCAAGGATTCTCCTAAGAATCCGCCTCTCGAATCTTAGGAGCATTAGTTCTTGAGCTCAAGAGATCATCCAATATTCGGAAGCATAGGTCAGAACAGACCTTATAAAGCTACCTTGGTGATCCTCAAGAAATCTACTTTTTTTATGTTTCAGGAGCCTGAAATAGCATCTGTTTGCAGCCATTAATTGTTTATTAATTTCTTGCTGCATATTATTGTCAGAGTTCACTTGAGAGCCAAAATAAATATATTTGTTCACACACTCAAACTTGAAGTCACCGATTTTCAAGTGGGTATCCTGCCGTTCTAATGCTTGCAGACCTGCTCTCATATCAGCATAATTTCAAAAATAATTCATCTAATAACAATGGTATTATGTTATTGGTAAGTAAAGTATTTTAACTTTTCAATAAATAATTATAATTATAAATAGTAGAAACCACAAAGATACAGTATTGTACCTCTTTCGGAGATACGCCTTCATCAGCATCAGTTCCAGAATCTTCTGAGTCTAAATTATCCTCCAAACTTTCTTGATGAAATGCTTTACAAGCTACGTCAACCTAAAAGTAAAAAAATAAAAATAAATAAAGATGCTTTTATCTGTATAAGTTATTACTTTTATGAACCTGGGATCATACAATCAGATAACATCATAGAAGAACAGCTTGAACAATAACATGATGAATCTTTGGCATTCAACATAAAAAGGCATTCACAGATCTAGTATGAAAATATAAATAATGAGAATAATTACATTTCAAACTTTAACATTTTCATTTATTGAAGAATCAGTGAAAGAGGCAAACAAGTGTGACATAATCCGTTACACATTTCTATCATTATTAAGTTATGTTTAAACTATTTAACTTTCCTTTCAATTACCTACTTAATATAACCATAAAACAATGTACAGAGAAAGGAACATATATTTTCCATTGTACAATTGTCAGAATATAAAGGAAATAAAATTTTTTTTTTTTTTTAGTGATATATGATTTTTACTAAATAAACCGGTAACTATTCATTATATATAGTTCAGATTAGGTATATATTATTTTAGTTTATAAAACAAGTATTGATATGACTCATTTCCGGGGAAGTATTACAATTTAAATTACCTCTAAGAATCAGTAAATATACAAAACAAAGCATTAAATAAAAAATTCAAGATATTCAGCAAAGTATTTTTGAATTAAGTTTTGTTATTATAATTATATCATTTTTACAATAGAGGTCTTCTTAAACGAGCTTCATATAGAATAAAGGAAGTTAAATTTAAAATAAATTAATAAAATTAAATAATAAATTTAAAATACAATTGTTCAATTTTTTTTAGACAATTAAATTATTGCATTAATATTTGTTTATTAATACAATCAATATAATGTGCCAAAAACGTTATTATAGCACTATAAATAAGCCATTTATGAATACAGAATGGTGTGGTAGTGGCCTGTAGGCACCTACGCCAGTCCCGCTTTTTTACCGCTTGTGTGCATTTTTTACAGAACCACTTCAAATATTTTAAAAAGTAATCAGTGTTTTAGAAAGAAAAATATATTCTACAGATGTTTTATTTCAGCACATTTTCCATTATTGTGGGCCATTTAAAAACAAACAATCCTTGATTTTCCACTTGAAAATTGTTTAGTTAAAAAATTGAATTTACTGGTGTTTTTTATGTCCTAAGCCAATTATTTTTCAATATTTTTTCATGTTTTATTATTCTCTGACTATCCAGCTTTAATAAAAGACCAACTATGACGAAATTGAGCCAAATGTTGATTCTCAGTGACCAAACAACCAAGTCAAGTCAAACTCGTCAGTCCGCTATGTTTGGACGCTATTTTGAGGCATTTTGTTCACTGTTGTTTTTGGGAACATTGGCTTTTTTTTAATAAATAGGTACAAGGAACACAACAATATGTAATTAATAGGGATGTGGGAGGGGGGGGGGCTGCACGGTAGGCGGTCTGGTCCACAGACTATATGGGCCCGCCCTAACGGCGAAATGGTTAGTCTTGAAAAAAAAAAAACCAATGTTATTTATGAAAAATGTACTTTTATATCATATAAATTGTACAATTTAATAAATTGTTAAACAGTTAAGACTCACAGTAATTGCGATTTCCGTGTAATTAATAAATTTCACTGGATATGAAAAGGGGGGCTAAAATCGGTCGCGAATGAGGTAAATGGGTACAATTTGGATGTCGTGGCTCTGCAAGAGGTTCGCTGGCCAGGGGAGGGCTCGATGAGGGAAGGGAAGTACACTATTTGGTACGGAGGAAGCGGGAATCATTGTTTAGGTACCGGGTTTCTAATTAGGAGTAGATTACTATCCGCTTTGAGGGACGTACAATTCTTTAGTGATAGAATTTCGGTAGCTACATTTCAGGGACGTTGGTTTAAAATCGCATTAATAAACATACATTGCCCGACCGAAGACAGTGACGATGAAGTCAAAAGTGAATTTTACGATAAACTCGAATGGGTTTATGATAAACTACCGCAAAACTACATGAAAATAATTGTAGGTGACGCGAACGCAAAGGTAGGAAGGGAAGAAGTTTATATTCCGACGATTGGTAAAGAAAGTTTGCACGAATATAGTAATGATAATGGGATCCGTCTGATAAACTTTGCCATCTCGAAAAACCTGATAATTAAAAGTACGACGTTTAAACATAAGGATATTCATAAATATACTTGGACATCACCGGATTCGCAAACACGAAATCAAATCGATCATGTCTTGATACAACACAGCTGGCAAAGCAGTATAATTAATGTACGGTCTTATCGCGGAGCAGAATGTGGGTCGGATCATGAATTAGTAATCGCGAAACTTCGACAAAAACTTAATATAAAAAAGAGAAAAGAAAACCGTTTCGATTTTGAGAATTTTAATTTGGAAAAATTAAAAAATCCATCAATTAGAAACCAATTCGAGCTAGATGTTAAGAATAGGTTTGAAGCTTTAGAGCTTCCTGACGAGGACCACGAGGATATTGACAAGTTATGGATAGAGATCAGAGATAATATTAAAGCGGTCGGTAACTCGTGTCTAGGAAAAAAGGAAAATAAGAATAACAAACCGTGGTTTGATGAAGATTGCTTAAACATGTGTGAAAAAAGAAAAGCCGCTAAATTAAAAGCTCTAAATAATCCTAGCGAAGACAATCTGGAAAACTTCCGAATCTCAAAGAACGAAACGACAAAATTGCTCAAAAATAAAAAAAAGGGAGTATCTTAAAAATAAAATAATTGAAATAGAAACTAATAGAATCAAAAATAACATAAGAGACATGTACAAAGGTATAAACAGATCACGTAAATATGTAGGGCCCGTAACGTCTGGAATTAGGGATGATAATAACAATATTATGACCGATCCGGTTGACATATTGAATAAGTTTAAGGACCACTTTGACAATATTTTAAATATGGGAAATTATGATCTGTGTCCTCCTTCTGAGTACCAGAGTGCTGAACCGTTAATAGAAGGACCAAGTAAAGAGGAAGTTGAAGTAGCTATCGGAAAATTAAAATCATATAAAGCAGCGGGAACCGATAATATTCCTACTGAACGAATTAAGGCATGCGGGAAAGCTGGAGTTTCTAAAATACATCGGTTGGTTAAAAAGATCTGGGTGAACGAGAAATTACCTGAAGAATGGAAAGAATCTATTCTTATTCCGATTCACAAAAAGGGTCCGAGGACGGATTGTAATAACTATCGAGGAATTTCACTCCTTCCGGTATGTTATAAAATATTCACTTTAATCTTAACCAATCGAATCACGGAATACGCCGAGGAAATTATCGGAGAATATCAATGCGGATTTAGACGGAATCGTTCGACTATTGATCAAATATTTTCTTTACGGCAAATATTAGAGAAAAAATTGGAGTATAACGGTATTGTTCACCAGCTGTATATAGATTTTAAAAAGGCTTACGATTCTATTGACCGCCAGAAACTGTATAATATTCTAATAAAGCAGGGGATTCCAAAAAAACTAGTAAATCTAGTCAGGATGTGCTTGACGGAGACACTCAATAAAGTTAGAATCGGTAATAATTTGTCCGAAAAATTTGAGGTTCGTTCGAGTTTAAAACAGGGGGATTCTCTTTCGCCTGTCCTGTTCATTTTTGGCATTAGAACATGCCATTAGGGAGGTAATGCATACCGAGAAAGGGTTGGATCTGGGCGGGACAACATCCGTGCTGGGCTATGCTGATGATCTGGTACTGTTAAGCGAAGATGTTGAAACTATAAAACTAAATACGACAACGTTAATGAAAGCCGGTAAAGAACTAGGACTCGAAATAAACGTGGATAAAACAAAATATATGGTTAGCTGCAAAAATGGCGATACTACTGGTGATATCGATATAGACGGTAATATGTTTGAACAGGTAGATAAATTTAGGTATCTAGGTTCTACGATAACTAGAAAGAACGAAATTGAAGAGGAGATTAAGGTTAGACTGAAGGTGGGAAATGCTTGTTATTTTTCTGTGACAAAACTACTTAGTTCGCGCCTCTTGTCCCGGAACTTAAAAATTAGAATCTATAAAACAATTATCTTGCCTACAGTTCTTTATGGATGCGAAACTTGGCCGCTTACATTAAGGGATGAGCAGTGTCTTAAGGTTTTTGAAAATAAAGTATTGCGTAGAATTTTCGGACCGAAGAAGGATGAGTTAACCGGAGAGTTCAGACGGTTACACAACGCCGAATTGCGTGAGCTGTATCCGGGTAATATAATTGAGGTAATTTTATCGCGGCGAATCAAATGGGCTTGTAAAGTTGTTGGGCTTAGTAATGAGAGAATTCCTAAAAAGTTAATATTTGCTGTGCCGAATGGTAAGCGTCCGAGGGGTAGACCGAAGCGAAGGTGGGAAGATTGCATTAAAGCCGATCTGAAGGGACTGGGTTTGGACGGCGAACGGTGGAGGGAGGTGTGTAACAAGCGATTGGTGGTGTCGGCATCGAACCTTCGGGTTCGCTAAGCCTTATTATTATTATTATTACTGGATATGAAAATATGGTTCCTTTTGGGTGCGGTCTAGCATCAAAAAGGTTAGCCTCACAAAAAATCTTTTATATAAGAAATGTAGGCACAGTTTTGTCTACTTTAATTTTGTGTAGAATGGGTCTGTCAAAAAAATGCTTCCTTTTTGAGGTATAGGCCGAAAACTGAAAAAAAGTGCCAACATTTGGTCAAAAGTTCTCAAAAACAAAGTTCTGGGCAAAATTTTTGCCAGTAAACTTCAAATTCATGTTCAGCGGCCAAAAAAACATAAAGGGTGAGAAAATCAAAACTATAGCAAAACTTGTTTCTGAGCCCCCATTTTTTACTAATATGCCTAGGCTAAAAATGTTATATTAAAAAGAACACTTACCAACTGTTTAGGATTCATGTTGTATAGAATCCGTTCAGCATTCTCACTATCACCACGACTTTCCATAATTGCCAGTAATAGTTTTGATGCATTATTTTTTAATTCTAGAACTAAATCCATCCTTGTTTTCCCAAGAGGATTAATATCATTTAAAATTAAAGCAGTTATAATATCCAGACCATTTGACTCATGAGTGGCAATACAATTTTGATTGTCATGACATGGTCCTTGACAGTACTCAGTAAGTGTCTCAAGAGTTTGATTGATCAACGAAACATTATATTCATTTATGTATAATCCAAGAAGTCCCAAGCCTCCAGTAGTTGAGCCACAAATACAATCCAGGAACATTAATGTTTCAGATACAAGATTATAGTTGGTTTTGTTGTTTTGGTTGCGAAGCGTATTCTAAAAAGAAGTGAAAAAAAAATTAGAACAGATTAAATAATAATAATAATAAAAGAACCCTTTAATTTGTTTAAAAATAAATTTTTTATGGATACTTAAATATGCTTCCAATATTTTCACACAATCATCTAAAATAATATATGTGTTAAGTATATTGTAAATAATATATTTTTTTTCTCTATTCATAGATTTTCTATAACTTTTTTTCTACGTTTCGGGTCCAAAGAGTTACAAAATGGTAAAAAGACATAAATATGCTTAAAGTATTTCATGATTATACATGTAATAAAAAAATTGCAAAACAATTTATAGGGATGAAATTAAATCAAGGAAATAGTGTGAAGACAGGTAGACGTGGGATGGTTCAGATGATAAGGAAAAACTACAAAACTTAGAAAGTAGATTTGAAAATCAAAACAGAGAGTAAAAAATAAAAGATATTATCCAAAATATACCTAATATATTAATATAACATAAACCTAACCTTCCATAATATAAACGAATTTTGAAGTAATTATATTAGGTTGTAGTAAAAGTTTTGAAGATATTAAGATAATTTATTTAATACATAGGTCCACTGATATAGTTGAACTATTTATATTATGTTATGTTAACTGAACTATTTATGTTGATTAGGGCTCGGATTTGAAGAATTTATATTTTGCAAATATTCACAAATGTAGATCTTTTTTCCAATTATGCACTTAAAATAGATTTTGTTTTTGCAATTTAGTAATAAAATAAATCTATTTAGCAATGTCACACAAAAACAAGATCTATTATAGGGTCTTTATTCAGAGTCTGATTCAATTCAATGTATTTACGAATTATTACGGATGCTTATATTAAGTAGATGTATAGTAAGTTACAAAATCTTTTTTTTTTTTTTGTCCTGTGGTCAGTTTTCCACGAGTTTTATTCAAGAAAGCTTTTAAAATTTTGGTTAAAATAAAAATTTAGTCATAAGAAGTTATAATACAGTACCTATTTAATTAATGTAACGCTTTACAGTCTAAAATAATACCTAAAATGGACTTAGTTTACATTCTGAAATAAAATTAAAAAGACTTTTCTGATGAAGTAGTATAGCATGCTTTTTTGTTCTATCCATTTTTAATTAAAGAGTAAATTATTTGTTATCAATTCTATGGAAAATGAATAATTCCATCATATTTTTATTTTAATGAAAGGAACATTAATAATGTCACAATTGACTTTAGAAATAATTTGGATTTAATGGAGTTGGGATCTGATTCTTAAATAATATTTTAGAATTCTGATATTACATTTTTAAGAAATTTAGCAGATGTATTTCCTACAAACATATAAATATGAGAAGGAATTAGTCGAGGGTGCGGTCAAAAAAATAAAAAAAATAAAAATATATAAATAATTTTAATTTTTGCCGACGTTTCGACCCACTTTGCAGGTCGTCTTCAGTTTAAACATATAAATATAATCAGTTTAAACGTTTCGTTTAAACATATAAATATTTGGGGAAGTTCCTAAACCCAGTGCTGAATTCATCGATGGTATCGGAAATGCATCGGCTTCAAGGGCCAATTGATGAAATGAAATGAAAAAAATGTTTTATTATTCTGGGACTGTTGTCCCTTAAGAACAAAATATGAATACAGATTATATGTCTGTGTGGCTACAATTAAATTGTATATTTACAATGAAAGTTGACTTACGATAAAAATACAGAAAAGAGAAAAAAAAGAACAAGTAAATTGTACATATGTATGAGAAACTAAAATAACCTTAATAAATTGAGGTAGTCTCTGGTGGTGCTCAGATATTTCTCTAAGATATATTTCACAATCATTCGGATTGAGAAAGGAGTAGGTGCTTAAAGAGGAGTGGTTTAAACGAGGAAACTGATTGAGCGTGTCGAATATCAGCTGGGATGGAATTCCAGAGGGAGGCGGCTTGTATTGCAAAGGATTTGTCAAACGCAGCAGTTCGGTGAGGAGGAGGATAGAGGTCGGAAGTACGAGATCTGGTGGGACGGGATTGGATGGAATATTTGAATTGTAAGCTGTGAAAAATATAGGAGGGTCGATGGGTTCTAATAATTTGGTACAGAAAGGTGGCTAGGAAGTACTGACGGCGATAGGATGGGTAGAGCCACCTCAACTCAGTGTAATACTGGGTAATATGCGTATCCCTTGAGATTCCGAAAACAAATCGTAGTGCGCAATTCATTAGGCGTTTAAGTTTGGCCTCGGAATCTCCCGGGAGTCCACCGTACACCATACAGCCATAGTCGAAGTGGGGGAAAACAAGGGAGGAAACTAGGAGTTGACGGGACTTATATGGAAGGAGATATCGTAGACGATTGAACTGTTTTAGGGTGGAGATAGTGCGACGGGAAATTTGGGAGATGTGAGGTTTCCAGGATAGGGATTGATCGAAAGTAATACCTAGGTTTTTAACGGTGGTGTAGAATAAGATAGGTGAGTTGTTCAGGAAGAGATTGGGAGATACTGGGGAGGATTTGAGGAGTGAAGGAGATCCGATCAAGATGGCTTTTGTCTTCTCGGCGTTCAGAGTGAGCCTATTGAGGTTTGCCCAAGCACTTATTCTGTCAATATCTTCCTGAAGTTTTTGAGTGGCATCTGAGATATCTGTCGGATTAAAGGAGAGGTAAATTTGAATGTCGTCGGCATACAGGTGGTAATGACAGTGCAGGATAGAGGATGGGAGGTCATTTATATAGATGGAGAAAAGGGTGGGGGATAAGGAAGAGCCTTGTGGGACGCCTCTGGTCAGAGGTAGAGATTCTGATGGTGGGTTATTAGGAATTACAACGTACTGGGAGCGACCGGTTAGGAAGGATTGGAACCAATTAAGGGAACTAGAAGAAAAAGAGATATTTTTAAGTTTAGTTAGGAGGATGTTGTGGTCTACTGAATCAAAAGCTTTGGAGAAGTCTAGGAGAATAAGGATGGTTAGTTTCTGCTGATCTATGGCTGTGTGAAGGTCTTGGGAAATTTTGATTAGGGCAGACTGAGTAGAATAACCAGGCCTGAATCCAGACTGGTAGGGATTTAGGAGATTATTGTCCTCTAAAAAATGGGATAGCTGGGATTGGACTAACCGCTCTAATGGTTTTGAGAGGTTTGAAAGGAGGGAAATCGGTCGGAAATCATTAGGAACTGATGGGTTTGAAGTCTTCTTCAATGGGCGTACTAGGGCGGTTTTCCAGGATGTAGGGAAGGTAGCATTTTGAAGAGAATAATTGTATATATGATAAAGGATCGGAAGAATGGATGGCAATGCGGCTTTAATCAGTCTGACTGGGATGTTGTCGGGACCGTAATCATTGGTATGGGACTTCTGAATGGATTTAAGGAGCTCATCTGGTGTAATATGGGAAAGAAAGAAGTGATCAGGATTAAAGGAAGAGAACATAGGAGCCAGACTGGACGTGGGAGATGTGGATGCAAGAGGACAGGAGACAAAGTGAGCGTTGAGGTTATCAGCAGAAACGGAATTGGACTGAGACTGGGGTGTATTACCAATGGTCAGTTTTCTAAGAATAGCCCACGTAGCCTTGGTATTGGGAGAGTTGGATAGGGAATGATGGTAGTAACGGGATTTAGCACGGCGTACTGCTGATTGAGTGCTATTTCGAAGCTGTTTGTAGGAGAGAAAATCATCAGGAAGTCGAGTTCGTTTAAACCGTCGCCTTGCAGCATCTCTTTCTCTCATACACTCCCTCAAAGCAGGGGTAAGCCAAGGAGCTGGAGGATATCGGATGGTTTTTGTGATAAGAGGAGCATGTCGGTCGAGGATAGAGTGAAGTTGAGTGGTAAGGATTTCTACCATGGTGTCTATGGATTTTGAGGAGTAGATGGGATCCCACTGGATATCGTCAAGACCTTCTGACAATGTTTCGTGAGTGAGATAATCTAGGTTTCGGAAGGATATTGTTCGGGGAGAAAAGGATGGAACAGGGACATTGTAAGAGATCTGGACAAGATCGTGGGAGGATAGAAACGGAACCGGGTGCTGAGATGCGGCAAGGAGTTTGTCTGAGGAATCCAGGATAATTAGATCGAGCCAGGACTCTGAATACTGAGTATGATGGGTTGGATTGTAGGGTACTATGTAAAGGCTGAGAGAATTAAAGAGGTTTGTTAGGTAGGAATAATCAGAGGATGGTGCCAGTAAATTGGTGTTAAAGTCACCGGAGAGGATGATGTTTGAGTAGGAAGGGATTAAGTTGTACAATAAAGTCTCAAGTGATTCATCGAAAGGAATTCTAGGAGGGCGATATATGACAGCAAACAGAATGGCAGATGAGGTGGTGAGGATTTCGGCGAAAAGGTATTCAACGTGCGGAGAATCGGTTATGGAAGAGCAGTGAAGGATTTTGGATTTGAGACTGTCATGGACAAAGAGACCTACTCCACCACCCGTGCGATCTACTCTGTCATGACGAAGGAGAGTATAGTTAGGTAGAAGGATCTGGGAGGACGGGATTGTGGGTTTCAACCAGGTTTCGGATACGGCAATTAAATGGTAGAAGTTATGGAGAAAAAAGTCGTAAAATTCATCAAAATGGGCTAAGAGTGACTGAGCGTTGACGTGGCAGGTTAGAAGGATATTAGTCATGGAAGAAGGAGGGGTGGCTTAGTAAACGGACAGAAGGAGTTAAGGATAGGAATATTTCTACAGCAGCTAGAGCCAATTGTGTGCAAGATCTCCTAGATATTAATAAGGATGGTAAACAAAAAATATAAAATTTAGTTAACGAAAAGCATATTCCTATTGTGCAAAAGAAAAAAAATACACAAATTAGAGTTTCTGAACAGATCAGACCTAAAATATTCTCATAAACAAAAATTAAATTATTATCATAGTCTATTATTAAAACAAACGCAACAAAAACATAAAACTGGGGATATAAAAAAGTAAAAACAAAATTGTTCAAAGTGATGTAACATGTATATGCATGTCAAGCAAACGTGTCTAAATCTGATGGTGAGTTG